AGCCATTATTACTTTCTTAGTCAATATATAATCACAAAATCAAAACAAGATAATGACATATTCCAATGAGCATGGTGGCAATTCAAAATCCAAACTGACATGAAATACTTCAAGTTTTTGTGATCTATACATACGATCATAAGATGAGTAGCATCTTCTAGCAAATGATGCCATTTTTGAAAAAAGTCTATAATCATAAGAAGTTTTTAATCATAAATCTCATAATTAATCTCCAAAGCTAAAAATATTATAGAATAGAATAAAATTGGATAAAGCTTTCTATCTTTTTCTATTTGAGATAGTACAACTCTTAATTCAAAGTTAGAAGTATTAATCTCAAAAGAAAAGACCTTCATGAAATATACATGTATTAAGATTAGAGCTATAATAAAAGTTGCCTTCAAATCTTAAAAAGGCTTTTGTGCTTGAGATCTCTATTCTAATTTGTCTTTAGATGTCAATTGAGTAAAATGAGCAACAACTTGGAAATAATTCTTAATAAATATCCAATAGAAATTAACAAATTTAAAGAAATATTATACATCCCATATTGTCTTTGAAGTTGCGTACTCTGTTACAATTTAAACTTTCTTTAGGTCCATCAACAAGCCTTCATTATATATAACATATCCAAAAAACTTCATTTTTGGCTAATGGAATATACATTTCTCCAATTTGACTAATCTCACATATTCTTCATATTCTTTAAAAATCTTAGAGTAGATTTAGATATCATTAAGATAGTAGATAACAAACTTATATAAGAATTTGTTGATGTAATCTTTTGACGAAGTTCCAAATCTTACAAATAAAGTTCTTTGGAAGATTTTTGTTGATGTAATCTTTTAATACCAAAAGCTTGTTGTATGATAGGTTGTATAATAGAGGTATTTTTGCAAGTTATGCATGGCTTTATGTTGGCTAACAATTTCTTTGATTTTTGCCAATAAAGGGCTTCTTTATCTCTTTGTCTTATATCTAATCTTCTTTTTTTATATAGAGATGAATATAGGAGGGATGACCTTTTTGTTGTAGAAGATTGTTAGTTTGAATATGTGTTACAAAGTTGTTCTTATAACATTGCATCAAACATTCCTTAAGACAGAGACTGGTACTTTCAGAAACTGTAAAAAAGAACCCCAAAAATACACGCACTCAGAAGTATTTGAAAGTTGGCTTCAATAAAGTCCTATTAGGTAATGAAATAATGGCAGCAAAGTCTTCCATCATTATACATGCATTGACTATACGAGAATCTATCCCCCAAGTAAAAAGTCCATACCATGGTTTTGACTCTGTGTCTTCGAGAACATGTTGTAAGTCAACCCTTACCGACTCATGTGCGATCTGGTCTGACTCCGGGGGAGTTGAGCTTGAGATTGAGCAGTTTTGTCTCTGCTGCAGCAGCACAGGAATCCCATATTCAACGGTGCAAGTTTTGAAACCCGGGACTCCCTTCGGATGCGTCTGCACGCATCGCTCTCTTGAGGTTTGTCTGCAATCGCCTGCGGCGGCTCTCAATTTCTCTGCACTTGAGTCGCATGCTTCGAGTGCTTTCTAGACTTTCTCGTCCCACTGCCTCCAACTGTTTGCCACCGCTACCTGGTGGAATCACGTCACTGGATTTTCTTCTTCCCCGTGCGCGGACTCTGGATCCCCCGGTTTCTCTGTAGGTGTCACAGCCTTCCTTATTGCTGTCGGTATGTGGGTTGCAGTGCAGTATCTGGCTCCGTTGTGGACGCGGAAAGAAGGCTCACGTGACCAGAACCATGCGCGAAAGAAGACAAAAGCCTCACCACTTCGACTACAGTCGTGGTCTCATGCTTCAGATTGATGGGTGCGGAATAAGGCTCTCCTGTTGACTGGGATGTTGCAACACTTGGTTTGGTTGGTATACTTTGTAGTTAACTTCCAATCAAATTATTTGTAATGCAAATATAGCTTCATTTTTTGACTTAGATTTACCAAAATATTAACAATCTGAAACGATGTATTTGATAATAGATATTCAAATGTTTCTTATATGAAATTGGACCATGTTTAATTTAAGTTGGAACATCTAAATTCACAAGTTGTAATGAGCAATATAGTTAATGTTTCCCAACTTGTTTAAATTATGTTTTTTATTTCTTCATATTTTAATTGAAATAAAAATTATCATTGTAATAGAACAAATAAATATATAAATTTTAAATAACTCATAAATCTTATAAAAAGATCCAAATTATTCCTACTAACAATTGTTTATTCAGCTTTTTGAAGTATCTATTTTTTTGAAATTTTCTAATGCAAAATATTAAGTAGAAATATTTTTAGTATTACTAAAATAATACAAATTTAGAGTATTTGCTACAAATATCATTTTTTCTTTGTCTTCATTTCATTAGATTTAAGAAACACAACTTTCTAACATGGTGTAATTCTTTAAGAAAAAAATATTGTTTCTACTTGTAAGTAAATATCTTATTTATATTATACTTGCATTTTATATGTAAGTAATTTGAATTATTTTTGTCTCCAAATGAAAAATAAATTTCAACAAATTCTTGGACTTGTCTTTTAGATGTTTTAAAAAATTAAAAATTCTTCTAAAATCTACTTGTAGTTCTTAAAAAATATTATAAAAAGTCTTTTTATATATTTTTTGCATTCTTGAATCTTTTGGAATTTATATGCATCTTCTTCATTTTTATTGATATATATATATATATATATATATATATATATATATATATAAGTTTTATTTTCCTTACACTAAGATCCATTGAACATATTCTAATTACAATTGACTACTATTATACCAAATTAGTTCAAACTTGTAAAAATCAAGCATAAAGCTATATTTAATTTTTTTAATAATTTTTTAATTTAAAAATATTAAATAAATACCAATTTTCTTAAATTTTTCTATCAAATTATGATTTTTTTAATTTAAAAATGTTATCGTGTACAAAACTAAAAGATATCTCAACTTTATTTAAATTTAAGAAAAATTCAACATATGAAATAATTTTTGTATATTCTATTTATCTATATGCATTTATATACATATATATATATATATATATATGTATAAGGTTATATACTTATATATATATATATATATATATATATAAGGTTATAATCTTCTAATAAAATATAGGTTGTGTTTTTTTAAAAAAACCAATTACTTTTCTTATTTTAACTTCATATTATCTAAGTTCATTCTAATAATTAACAAAAATATGAATATTTTTTTTTATTATAAAAATAATGAGATGCTAAAATATATATCAAATTAATTAAGTTATAAACTTAAATAGAATCTCTCATTTACATATATTTCAAAGAAAGGATTACCATTATTACATAAATATATATGTATATATTTTAGAATATTGTTAATACCACTACAATTTTTGATATTGTCATCCCAACTTGCCACCTATTCAACATATTTCTTTGGTTTTTTTTAATTCCAATAAAATTTATGTTAATATTTTCTACACATTCTATTTTTTAATTACATAAAAAGATAATTTAATTTTAATGAAAAAATTAATTAAGAGTTAATGAGAATAAGTTGGGTGGCAGTAACAAAAACTACAATAACAAATAACGGATGGCAAATTGTGGTGGCGGTAACAAAAACTATGGTGGAAGGAGCAGCACTCTCTATTTATATATAAGTTTATTCTAGTCACAATATTCTACAAAGAAGATTCCACAACTCCGACATTGCTCCCGAGTTACCGATGAAATAAGGTATAAAATCTTTTGTAACATTTTCAGAACTGGAATCAATGCAAACGCGATAAGTACAGAATAGTCCAAAACTACATCGCGCACTAAGTTTCATTGTGACGATGTGATGACGAAACAATCTGTGGGTCAAAACCCCATGGGATGCCGATATTCGACTCTGTTGAGCATGACAAATTTTCTCCGGTAGACGTGGTGCATCTAGAATTTATTTAAGCTGTCGATCCACTGAAAAATTCCAAAGTCTGTATTCAACGTGGAACAGCGGGGTGTCTGCAAAGCATTACATTACTATTCGATGTGTAAAACAGACAATGTCTGTAAGCAGGAATAGTAATGCAAGTGGATCATTCAAGATTGTACTATTCCTGCATACAGACAATTGTCACGTTGTCTGCTGCGCCAATTGCTACGGTCGAGCAGTTACACATGTCGGTGACCCTATCTTAGTTATTCACAATTTTAGTGTATTGCTTGTGGAAAAAGTTATTTAAGATGCACGAAAAGACGACCAGCTGAGCTTTGACACCTTGAATCAATCAAGGTGGGCGTCCACGCAAGGATGATGTGCGCGTAACCTGGAGCCTACATAATTTCCAGCGAAGTTTTCACATGCGAGTCACCACCGGCCATTTTTAGGTCTCTTCATATTGATATGCTGGTAGGTTGCAGGTGGCTTATCCGAAAAGAGTCCAAGGGATTGGTCGATTGATATGTAGCGTCAACGTGTGCTGTCGACTTTTAGTGATTCGTCTGTCGGGGTGATAAAAAGTTCGGTTTTGTTCTATTACGCGAATGTCTAGCATGCAAATTGTGTATTTTGTATCTGTGTAATCATCTTTATATCCTTGGGTTTAACAAAAGACAACAAAAAGTTGATGCTTGGATTCAAAATGCTCAAATACCAAGCTCGAATTCAAGCTCTTCCATTGATTTATTAATTTATTTTAATTTTGAAAATTTTAAGAATTAATGGGGACAGGATCGAAAGGTGGAGTTCTCACACCGACTGCCTTTAGGTTGTCTAAAGATTAATTGGGTTGAGATAAAGAACCTTAACCAAAAACAAAAGAACCAGAAAGAATTGGCAGTTTTGGTCATTCAATGCATCTCCAGCGGTATTGTCTCAAACCGTCTCTTTCTCTTTTATTCACAATAAATTTCTGTACAATTATAAACAGAAAAAAATGTACAAATACTAATTATTCACAACGTGTGTTCTACTGCCCTCTTACTTGCATTCCCATTATGAACATAAATTTGATTATGGATCGCACAATTTTGCATAAACCGTTGTGCACAATTTTATATTAGATTATCCGAAGCAAAGCTCGGTTGCAGAGTGAACGACAAAGGATTCAAACTAAAGAATTTGTCCCCAGAATGAATGGCAGGCGGCGCTTGCAACGTCTCACACTGCATCCGAGTTTCTACGTCGTAGACCACACCGTCGCGACGCAGCGTGTTGAAGATGACGAGCTTGCCTGGCCCGTAACCGCAACACATATACTCTGGGTACACTTGCAAGCCCCGCCCACTACGACTCTTCACCCTAATCACATTCTTCAGATGCCATTTCGCACCACCATCATTGGTATCGGATTTCACAAGAGCATCGATGCAATGCGTGACTACACGCTGGCATTCTTGCTCTGAGAACAAATACACGTTTCCACTATTCTCTACAAGTTGCAGGACATTTGAATCCTTGGCTGATGGGATAGGACAAGTTCGTTCCTTCGACCAAGTATCCTTCTCCACATCATACGCTAGAATTCCTCGTCCAGCACCTTTTTCCAAATGTGCCACGAAGTATAGGATTCCGTCTACATAAACACCAGTCTGATTCTCGTTCAGTCCGAACTCGCATGTTGGGAGGTCGTGTCGCAATTCCCACTTGGATGTGCGAGAGTCGAATACTTCTATTCGACGTGAGAGACCCCCATCCCTTTCGCTCGAACTCCCTGCAGCTATGACCTTGTACGTTTTGGTTTCAGAGTCTACCGACACGTGCAGGAGCACCGGGTTTCTCCGGTGGGTTAGGGGTGGTAACACCTTTTTCTTGCCAGTCAACGGGTTGAAAACTACAATCTCCTCCATCTTTGAGGACTTGGAAACATTCACGCACATAAGGCCAGAAGCTCCTGCCACCGAATATTCTTTGAAGAGGTCGAAATCGGGGGCTGGAAGGCAAGAAAGTGTGGGCAATCTTCTCCAGTGCTTTGATTTTATGTCGAGCCCAATCCATTGCCATGCCTTGTCCTTCAGGAAGAAACTGATCGCCGTGAATGACCCTTCAGATGGGTAAGTTCCGCCGCGCAAGTGAGAAAATTCATCACTCTCAATGTGATTTCTGGATGATTTTGTGACCCCTTTAAAACGAAACAGATCCTCCATTTCCAGTCTTTGGAGGACTTTGCTCCTCAAGTCCTCTGGTATGCATTCCCACTCTGTCGGAACATCATCGGCCATGGCCTCGCAAAAACTCGAGGGGAGCAATGTAGGGAAGTCTGTTAATGCCTGTGAAAACCAACTGTCGCCAATTTCCTGTACACTACATCCGTCCCCTGAATCCTCAATTCCTGGCGGATTGCTGTCCCATTTATCAGCTTGAAAATCTGTGGCAAAAATTGTATCTGTGACATCGCGACTGTCCTCCACCGCCCTCGCCCAATCGCTGTTCCAACATCTGTCCAATTCATCGCGAAAAGATTGAGGACCTAGGTCGTCAGGGCTGATGACAGTTAATAAATCTGTGCCATCTAATGAAGCTGTTCCATTGCCATATTTTCCCACCGCCCTCGCAGAATCGCTGTCTGCCGCTTCAGGACATGAAATGGTGGGTTCATCAGCGCTAACGTAATCCATGGCGGCATTTCCCGAGGACGGTGAGTTATTGAGGATATTATCGGGTGAGGTATCGACAATTTTTTGTTCACTTCCAGATTCTCTGACGGGGGAATTTGACCTGCTACAACCCTCTGCAGTGGTAACGACGGAGCAAACCTTTGTAAGAGTGGGTCGCTTTCCTCCCAAACTGTCCCCCTCTGCCTGCTCTTGTTTTACGACCTTCTGAACAGATTCATCTCTAGGCCTTTTTTGTACTGCTTTCGATTTCCCCCACCTGTCTGAAGGCCCAGCAAACAGTGGTGTTCGTGGAACACTGCAGGGAACCCCGGTGAGGCTGCATACAAAGAACAGCTTCTAACTTCAATCCTCAACAAAACTTCACAAACGCGCCAAATCGACACGAAAATTTCGCAAGAAAATTCAACACACAACCTCAAAATTCACACGCACCTCTCAGGGTTTCTGTACGAGGGTATCCAAACAAATACTGACTAGCTGGATAAGCAGTGGGAATTGAAGAGATCAAAGCACTCACCTAGAAATTGTTTTGCCTTTCGGCGGAGTACCACACTTCAGTGCCTCAGATTGACACCTAATTTTAGCTTTGGTCACATGCGATTGATTGTGGCGCTGCAAATCGAGCTGCCCACAGTGGACACGGGGCTCGAATTGAAACATGATGCAGCTATGGAGGAAAGAAGAGGTAAGCGAACCAACCCGGCTTGACAAATCCAGCCCGACAGACGAGGAATGGATCGCGCATCACCCTTGAAACCAAACAACCCAGAACCACTAATCTCTGCAAACCATCACTAGCGCAACACAACTTGATGACTGATGATGAGACTAGTACCCATTTAAACTAGTCGCAATCTGCAGACTGGTACCATTTAAACCAGTCGATATCTGCAGACTAGTATCCATTTAAACTAGTCGGAATGTACAGACTTTACCGCAAGTGCGGGTCAAGGAAGTGAGGAAAGGGGGCCTGGATCCAGGCCGGGGAAAGGAAGAGAAAGAGGGACTGGGACCCATGCCAGGACAAGAGAAAAGGAATCCGGATGAGGCAATCAGAAGCCTTAGTGTGTATGGAATTAATGAGTGTGCTTGAGTGTGCTTATAGCAAATTGGGGTGTGCTTGTGGCTCGAACCCAAAAAAAATTGTATAACTATGACAATTATGTTTTTTTTTTTTTTTTTTTTTTTTTTTTTGTTAATTTAGATTTTGAAGAACAACAATTTGTTTACTACTACTTAAAGGAAACCACCTCTACGTGTTGAAAAGAACCTCTGTACCTCATAACCCGGCTTTCAAACATTGGAACATCTATTAAAATATGGATTACATCTCTCACTTGTTGTTTCTTGTTTCTTGGTAGGATCGTACTCTAGTTAATTACTGCAAAGAAACAGTAATTCACCTAATATTATGGGTTTCAACCGCCATTCAAACTTGTAGTTCAACGTATATTGTCTGCAAATGGGACACTATGTGTCACACAATGTCTCCGACATGACCAAAATCTTTGTCTCGATTTTGGGTAATTTTGCTGTGGGGGTCGTTGAAAAAAAGTTTATAAATATTAAAATAAATGCATAATCTATTTGTCTCTGAAAGATATGCCAACTACGAAAATATTAAATGGAGAGGAAAACACTAGAAAAATCCTCCTACAGAGACCGCCAACAACATTCTAAATATGTGAGAATATGTGTGTAAGCATATATATAAGTATTTATGTACACGAATCGCGGAATTTACTACTATACCTGTAATAAAAGAAACATGTGCTCAACCATATAAACATCACAGAACATCACGATGGATAAGAAACCATTGCATAACGTTTTCAGAACCTCCACAAAAATCTTGATTTAGAAAACACTGCTAGTCTATTAACACTATCATGTGCAGCACACAAACCAGGAGATGCATGTGGGAGAGGTGAACGATCAGGTCTAGGGCACTTAGAAACAGTTGGGCACAGAGCTTGATCAACCCTGACTAGTCTGCTACCGATTCTAAACAATCTAGACTTGCAGATGCTGACCCTGCAAGTAAAGAACTAACAGTGCAAATGTAGGTCTGCAAGGTACTACGCAAGAGCAAACCACTGGTGTGTCTCATTATACCACGCTACCAAGTCGGTGAACAACACAATGCTAGTTCTTAACTTTGGTTGATATCAGAGCCGGTAGAACTTTGCGAAGAGATGAGAGCCAGGTGCTTCTCCACGTCGATTCCCGTACCTGAAATCTGTTGACAAGTTGCACGCAGGGTGTGTTAACTGCCGAAGAGCAACCAGGACAAGATTCATCATGTTTTGAATCTTAGTGAAAGCCCCATGTGAGATAATTCACAGACAGTTGACGGGAATCACACGGTGCCGCATAGATGATAGATTTGTTGAATGAGTAGCAGTGGTGAGATTATACCTGCTGGTGAATGACGGCAAGAGCTGCATCACGATCTAGAATCCGGCTGACTTTGATGCGATGACCATTTAGGGGGACGAACAAAAGAATGTCACTACCGACAACTACGATTTGTCGTATGTTGTCGAATGTGAGAAATGACGAGCACCATCTTTCGCTCGGAACCCCCGGATACTTGACGAAGCAGACACGCTTTGGCGTTACGTAGAATAACCCAGGAATGATTCCAGACAACCTGCTCCAATTTCGGAAAACCACCCCACTTTAGACAATGTATGTAGGCATCACCTGCCGAAGGTGGCATTAAATGGTTATGTAGGGAAAACAATACCCTTCTACTATGATGGCTGAGCTATATTACCTGCATGAAGACGTTGCTAACGTCTTCTCTCTTCCAAGTTTGAGCTCGATCTGGAATAAATGCTATCTTTGAATTAGAACACTCTACTTTAGAAGTATATGACTCGTACTTCGACAGGATCATATCCCAAGTATCGACAAAAAAATTGGAACTTTTCGACTATATTGTGATCGTACCTGACAGTAACACGTGGCAAGTTGACATTAAAACTTCTATGACCATGAAAGTTAAACAAAACGAACCTGCATGTATTTGGAATTAGCAGTTGAGCTATGAGACAGTACTAAATCTCTGGATTTACGATCACTGTAGCTCTTCAAGATTGAAAGATAATCAAGGACATGAAGCTGAGTGTCTGCTCTGGGCCCCGCCATAATGAAACCATTTGCAGCTTTACGGGATTTAGCTGGTGACTTCGCTGGGGATTTGGAGGGTGATTTTGTCTGGCTCAGGAGTCGGTAAACGTTATTGGTGCGTTGAGCCTCGGTATTGTTTCTTGGAGAAATAATCCTTCCGGGCTCTGATCTGCGCCGGTAAGTTTTCCATGCTTCTGAAAACACATCACGTAGTTTTTGAGGTTCCATTGAACGACAAGCCAAAATCTTGTGCAGTCGAGTGGATCCTTCCTTTGAGGAGAGAGGGGTTCTAAGTTGCACAGCACGGAAGTGTTTGTGAAGGGCGTCGTTAACCTTTCCAAGCTTCGGATACTGCACTTCGGTGATAGGTTCATGATCGTTATCGAGATTGAGTACCATCCCTTCCATGCACCACGACAGCGCTCATGGTAAGTTCTGCAAACGTAGGTGGTGAGCTGGCTGCCCATGCAGGATACCTCATTTTCGCTCTTAGAATCTGTAAACAGTTTACATAAACTCGGTCTAGCTTTCCTATACAAACCCCCAAGGTAAAATCAATGAGACTTACTCTTAAAAACTGCTCCATCAACTCAGGATACAGTGATAAACGCAAGACCTTCACCTCGTGGTCCAAAGCTTTAACCAACGGCAGCTGTGGCTCGATTGGGTAAGTTTCCTCATCACACTCTGCAACATCTTCCTTCAGAAGAAAGTATTTGAATTTACCCTGCACACAGGAAAATTAAAAATCAGACATTTGTACACGAACGAGTGGCTGGACTCATCTCAGTTTTGTCACTTGGCGAAGGAAACTCGCAGTAGAGCAATGCACAGCAGCATTAATTCTGAGATATTGGTTCAAGTAATGCTACATAATGATGTAGTATTGAATATTGTATCGAATGTCGAGGATCACACAAAATATCTGTAAAGAAATGGTTCTGGTTGCCTCACCTGTGTGCTTTCCAAAGCTGCAGTAATAAGCTCAGTGAGGGTCTGTTGCACTAAGTTCTCCAACTTTGAAAACCCGTTAAGGAATTCGGGATTTAAGCTACTACTCTGCCACTTCGTCATAAGAACGGATTTCAACTTCCGTTGTTCTTCGAGAACTGCACTGACGTTGTTCATCTGCACGCAGAGAAATTTTCTTTAGCTTCTTTGTAACTACTACGAGGTCTCTCAACGAAGAAAACAGGGTTTCATGAGACTTTTTCAGCCTTGATGACCACCAGATATTTTGATGTCCGATAACAGAAATAAATTAAAAATAAGTTCTGATCATCTAAATGAACCAAAGAGAATTTAAGCATATGGTTCTAGAGCAAGATAATGGGCATGAGGGTTATGAAAGGTTTCGCTCAAATTCACGAAGAAATAAGATAAGTCTTACCTGAATAGATACTGCTCTCGGCCAACCAAGAGAATTAGACACATGAGGACCGTTGCCGTGATCTTTACTGACGTCTATGAGTAGTCCTTGTAAACAGTGCTTTTCAACTGCGTCAACGTATGCATGAATGCATTTGCATAAAGCATCCACCATCATGTACATGTTTTCATTCTTGACTAAAAATGACGTTAGCCGCACTGCTACGTCATCAACCACTTGGCCAACCATCGTATACAAATCTGCTTCCAATAATACATTCAGAACGATAAATCTCTTTCTTAGAAATCATAATCATATATAATTCCTAAGTATCAAAGAAAGGTGATGCGTGGGAATAAATACATTCTCAGAAAGAAACTCTCGGAGAAGCATACCAATAACGGAGATGGAGATTAAGGGCTGAGTGCTCAGCGGTTCCCAAGATTCTCTGCAAACTGCTGAGTCCACCAAACTGCAAATTGCCATAGTAACCTATCAATTCTCAAAACGACGATAATTAGGACAGCCGCGAACTTGACAAAAGCGACACTCACATTTCTGGGTTATAGAACATTTCGGGTTGGTTGGAACTGTGCTTCAGGCTTCTATTCACGAAACTTGACAGAGATAGGGCAGGGTTCAGTATAGAAATAGCTAGATGCTGGTTGGAGAAGCAATTGGAAAAGATACGCTTGAGTACACTTACTGTGTCATGCGAGATGCAAGTGAGCCTATCCAATGCTCAAGGTGATTTGTGAAGAGGTCCTCTATGCCAAAATCCTGGGCTTTAAGTCCAAGTTTTTCAACATCCCCCCGGAGTAGAATAAACTCATTCAACAATTCCTGAACAAAAGAATGCGAGTACAGAGCCAGTTACACTAGGTTCATGAAAAATCCTGCTACAATTCTCTCAACACCACCATATGTAAACCGGACACGGCAACCACTATATTCCGAAAAGCTCTGCTCTAAACCACAATCAAACTGTCTTGCAGCTCCGTGCTACTGGTATATGTTGTAACTGAAAGATTGTAGCTCCTACCCAAACGCACAATACATACAGATACTCGGCGTCCAAATCATGCAGCGACGTCCATGCAACATTAAAGATTTAAAACAGTTGCTAGAAGCGCATCTGGCTTGGATGGATGATCAAAGTTTACCTCATGTTGTTTGAATAGGGTCCATGGAGAGCTCTCTTTCATATAAGAGGAGATGTAGTGACACACCTACACCTCAATACAGTCATTCGTTAAGTAGACATGCCTTTCGGTACTCCGTTTCCAGCTCTAATATCGATGCAGTCACTGCAGCCTAGAGTATCTATTGTAACTACTGTTCGATTAAAGGGAATGCTACAAAATTACATTAGTTAATGACGAGGACGAAGGAATTTGATTTGATTTGTTGGAGGGTGCATACCAATCTGTAGTAAACGGGAGCCGTAACTTGAGGTAAACTGAACCCATTTGGGAATGCTTTTGTGTATGTCGTAACCTGCTCTGCAAGATCAGAGCGAACCAGCTTCACTGCTTCCAACATCGATTCGGCAGTTAACTCTTCCAATTTTCTGCCATCCTTATTTATAAAGAAATGCTGATATACACGCCTTTCACAAGAATCCTGAATGGTCCCAAATGTACTGTAATTAACACTGTAATCCACTATTGCAGGTAGAATTCCTCACTTCAACGCATTCTCGTCAGGAAACACCACAAAAGTTTCATAAATAGAAACGAAAGATTGTGGACATGAACAACTTGAAGTTGTTACACGTGGAACTGTGTAATTGTTAACATGCAAGCTGAAAGTTTATCCAGATAATACCTGTATGAAGCTCTTGAGAGGTATGAAGATTTTCACAGGATCTGGATCCCATCTTAACACGAGCCCGAGTGGTTCTATGAGTTTTGAAATCACCTCCTTCGACCTACTTCCGGGAAATAAAGACTGAAACTGTTCAATAGCTTTGACGACTGGCTTCATAAGTGCTATCAAAACAAAGGTCCACAGAGAACAGGTCGTTAGTAAGACTATTCAGCTTGGAGTAACGTCAGATATTCCAAGTGGAGTTTGTCGGGACGAATTTGTCGGGACAAACTCCAACTCCGAGTCAAGTTTCAGAATGGGCGGCACTGAGTTTATACGCTACCTTCATTTTCAGCATGGAAGGACAAGCGCACTAAATTGTCATACGCAGTCTCTATATCCTCCACGGGAGACATCAACAAAAGCTTGTTTGAGGGTGCATCCCTGCACATGCGACCAGCTAGTATCAAGCACTTACCTCTTCATAAAACTAGAGAGAATATAAACATTCTTCCACAAGTAGAATCGCAACTTTTGTTTTAAATCGAGGAGTTGCATTGTACCTGTAGAATCGTTCACAGGAACACGTGAACTGAAGTTGCAAGGTGCTCATTTCTTGCTTTCCTCTCTCGTCTGCAAGCACGTAAGATGTTGCAGGGGTCTGCCCTTGAACACCGCCATGAGCAAGACCCTGTGATTCAATGTGATTGAATGAAATGATCACCTGCCCAAGGAAAATATCTCCACTCCAAGGCGCGACCTGAGACGATACACAAACACAGTCAGCCAATTTTCTTCGGTCATGTAGGAGTTCCTCTGTCTCAATTTTCTTTAGAGCCGCCAAGGATTCGCTGAAAGAGGTTGTGTTCGTTGAACACCACCACTCCGACACATGAACAGTAGAGAAATAATGGTCTCGCAAAAAGTTAGTTCATTGTTTAAACTTTACACATCTCCCACACATTATTTTCCAGGTGGCCACTGGAGAATACACCAACGACGGAATGGACTTGGTAGATGCCGTTGTTTCAACGTGCTTTTTGTCGCTTCCAAACTAATATGGAAGTACCTTCTTCCTCCTTGAGGTACTTTGCCTTTTGAAGATACCGCGGATGTTGGTCAATTTACTATTCTCTATGACAACCTCCGGTTGTGGCTGTGGTTTCGGCCGTGAAGCGAATTCTTCACTCCTAACTACCAAGTCAGACTTCTCCCAAACTTCGATCAAGATCCTCTCCTGCAAACTGTGAAGTCCTAAATCAGATCCTTCCGAATCAAGCTTGGTATCCACTATTGATCCTTGCAAAGTTCCAAAGAATAAAAATAATGACCAAAATCTGAACCCATGTGCGCAATCTCAGTCTTCTGTACCAAAACCCAAACCCCGTGTAGCATCACTTTTTAGAGCAGGCAAACAAACAAAATACTTGCACTCATAGCCAAGATTAGATAGAAGTAGAACCTGCAAATCGGAATCCAGGGCGACTGAGAATTCCACTCAGCATCCTCTACGCAGCTCACAACCTCACTGAAATAAGCCGGGGTCCTTTCAACGGTATCATCTTCAGTCTCCACCGGCGAGGGCATGGTCCCAAGTCTAGAAGGCAGAATTGTGACAGAGCAGTACACATGTCTCTCAACCACCTTCTTCTTAAGCATTGATGCAGCACATTTGGGAAAAGTCTCCAGCTTCAATCCTTCCCCCGAGAGAATCTTCACCTGGACACCGCCAGAGAAGGTGGGAAGGTTGCCGAAGAGGTCGACAAGGTTAGAGAGAATCTGTAGCTCTTTCATTTTCCAGCTCTGGTACACAACTGGATCACTGAATTGGGTCGGAGGAACGAGGGCAACTTTGTCTTTCATCAGGGTTTCCAACTTTAGCTGCAATTCTGTATCGCCAATCCGTGATCAAAGTTAGACAAGTTGAAGCAAAACAGCTATGATATATCTTTCTCCTGAGAGAATGCATTTGACATGTTACGACGTACCAGCTCTTCGGTATTGAGCCACTTTGAGAGCGCGGGATTCGGCTTTCGAGTACACGGAGGGCTGGATAGTGAAGACCTTCTTCACAACTTCTGCGGTTTGCATGCACTCCTCCAGAGCTTCCCCAGGCCCTCTTGGAGCAAAGACATAGCGCAGGACCACTTCACAGAACCGTGGATTTCTAGATTGCCGCTCCTCGAATACCTCTGGAGCAATGTCAGGAAGATCTAAAATCTGGCTTCGAATTAGACCGGTAAGCTCTGAAATTGGATAAACTTCAACGTTGTTCTGCGAAACTCTGTCCAGTTGCCTCACAGTTCCAGGTACAATAGTTACCTCCTTCATGCGGCCTGTTGCTGCATGCGCTAACTGTATGGTGGAGGTTGTAGGTTCCAGCTTGCCGTGTATGTCATGGAAAGCGGGGAGCTCTAGAGTCTCGAAGACGCTCACGGGTACGTTATCTGTATCAAACAAGTAAGATGAGGGAGTAGCGACGTCATGGTGGCCGGCCTCAGGATTACTTCCCACTAGCACTCGCTCTGCCTCCATTGCTGTGGCGTCAGTGAGAGACGCCATCATAGAGATAACACTCTGTTGAGCTGATACAACGGCGACGTAAGAGCTGTCTTCACATTGTAACAATGGATCCTCACAGTAGAACAGCGAAACCAGGATAAGAGTGAAACATGGAATGACGTAGATAAGTCTCGTGCACCACAAGACGCTACGATTCAACTCCTGTCTCTTATTAACACCTAGAGATCGTGAGCACATTCCAATAAGTCCATGTGAGAAATTAGGAGAAAAATAGAAGTCCTAGACCATGAGCGGAGGTTGGTATGATTAGTGAGAAATGAATTAACAAGGGCCCATTCTCCGTTTTAACTTCCATGGGACCTTCGCGAGCCCCAAGCTACCGCATCCCAGCTCTGTACAAATCTGAGTAGTAGTGCTTGGGTCCAGACTTGGAATAGTTGCCAGCACTACGAGGTAGATGAGGACAACCGGCATTCAACGCAATGCACAAAGATCGAGATAAAGGGAACAGGTCGCTTAGGGATTGCTACCGTTAGACGGACATTAAAAAAAATTGGGTGACCGAAACATAATGCAGTTGACTCATTCTAACACGTTCACCTTGTGATGTGTGAAACAAGTTTTCAAAGACAAATGCCGTGAGATCAGAAAGCTCCAGTGGGCAGAAGACAACTTAGACCTGCAAGGATAGATGATATTCACTGCATTGAAATCCACGCTGTCGCTAAGAGATCGGAAAGAAGAAGGCAACTCAAGGTAAGGAACGATTCTATGGCGCAATTGTGGCGTAAGAGGGTCAAAAGGAGCTCGTGGTGATGACAAATCTGGTTTTCCTACAGAATTATGATGATCCACAAACATCACAAATGCTCCAATACCGAACTCGCATTGACCAGAAAGTACACGAATCTCAGAACGACTCATTGAAAGGTGCAGTAATTTCGGGTAAGGCTTTCGAGAAAGCAGTAAACAGGTAAGAGAGGGAGGATGGTCAATGCTAGACCTAGATATTAGAAGAAAATTGCATTAACAAAGGACACTGAGAATTCCCCGACGCTTGAGAAATTGCAACATACCACGGCATTACTTGCGTGACCAATTCTTCACCCGTTCTAATGCGACGATCTCACGCTAGTTAAACTTGAAAATTCGACAGCCTTGTGGGCGACGCGGCATCACAGCCCTGCGTGAAATTGGTTTAAAAACATTCCACCGTGACACCCAGCAAAGTACGGCGCTGCCAAACATTGAAACAACGATGAGATTAAGCCACAGTGCAAGAAGTGAGGTCATCACTCAGCCAAGGACTCCCCTACCCTTGAAGCCCTCTGGAGTTTCAACAGACTACCTTTCCTTGATACTATCTGCAAGCAGACGCCATCCCCAACCGATCACTGCGACATCATGACAGGTTCATAACATCCATTTTTCTTACTAAGCACCCATCAAGCTCACAACCTGTGCTATCACTCCCCTTGACTAAAACGACAAGCATCCCAACCCAGTCAGCCTCCCTCCTGCCTCCGATTCTACATTCTAAGCTTCACAAAGCAAAGTAAAACAATGAACTCTTATAATGTATTCGATCACTTATCTCTTCCAGCTCTTGCGCATAGTAACTCACGACCATGTTCAGAAACTTAAAGTCCTCTATCAAAATCTTCTCTAGGGGGGCAAAAAAAATGGAAAGGAAAAAGACAGTAAATAAAATACTATATGAATGGGCGGCTCTCAGGTTAATCATAATGACTGGAAGTCCAAACGGCACCTTTAAAAAGCTCTACTTCACAAAAAGTTACAGGCGCGAAGCTCATTTACTGAACTCCATCAAGAGACGCACTTCCAGCAATTAAAAGAGGCGCCCAGTGTTTATTAGCCGCCGCAGGGCTTATTTACTTAGCTTCACCACCATTTTGTACACCAGTAGATTTATACAAAAGCCATGGACCTGAGCTCGGACAATAGCTAAAGTTAGTGGCGATGCGGGCGATTGTGGCGCAGCGGGTGAGTTTGGATGACTCAGGTGCCAGTGAGGAGGCGCAAGGATACGGAGCTAGAGAGGAGTTGTGTCAGAGCTGGTGACGGCTGGGTCAGGGCCACAGCCCAAACACTCTTTTATCAACAACTACAAGCCTCGCTGCTAGTCTGATGCAATCAGCCGACTTCTCTCCAAGGATTCAATCCCCCAGCGTGATCCACTGCCGGATGACTCCGTGCTCATAACCTGGAATAGATTAGGTCTCCTAGCCTGAGATTTCGAAACCAGTAGCCGCAGTGAAGCATTCATGGTCAAAGCTTCTGAAGTTTCACTCAGTTTTGGGTAAAATCGATACCCTGGTTCCTCAACTTGGGAGGAAATATGGCCCTCTAAGACATGGGTAAGTAACGGAAGCTGATGATTTGTGTAAATTTGTGTGTGTGTGTGTGTTCGATGAAGCGTGGTTTTTGTTAGAGCTGTCTTCACCGCGATTGTTTCTAAAGCTGTTCCTGCTGCAGGTTCCATGCACTAGATCTTCATGGAGTCACACCGGACCCAGCAGAGATCACCCATTCGTGTCCACAGTGAACAATCACACTACTTAACTGTGTCTGTAAAAGTTTTGGCGGAGTTCTTTTCAAACCACACATGAGGTGCTTTTAATTTATTGTTCAGTGGATTTCCATTGTTGTCCTTCTAGATGTTGTGAAGTTTTTAATAATTGGGTACGTAAATGCGATCGATGTGTGAGTAGCGAAGGATGGATGCTGAATGCTGTACAATGTACTTATAATATTTACTTCAGAAGATTTAGAGATTTGTTTTGGAGAGTTAAGTTCGTCTTTTCCTGTGTCAGTAATGTATTTCTAAAGATTTTTTTATGAAGAGGGCTCTCTTTTGTTGGAAGGTTCTCTGAATTGTTCTTCAATCCAATTTCCTACTTTGATTTCCCCTAATGAAATTTAAGTCATTCACTATTAGGTCAATTTATGGAAATCTAATTATTATTATTATTATTTCAATGCTCGACAATAAAAGTGTTAAAGCAATCAATGCTTTCCATAAAGGTGAGACTATGATGACCAACATTGAAGCCTACTTTGGGTTATTTTCCTTGTTTTGTTTTATTTTGTTTGTTTGTTTGTTTGTTTTTTAAAGTTGCAGTTCTAAAAAGCTGCTAAATTATGTTTTCGATTTCTTATTTTAATGTGTTGCTGAAACAATATATTAAATACATAATTAAGAAAATCTTCTAAAATAATGATCACAGCTATTTCATAAGCATTAGTTGGATGGAATTTACTAAATTGAAACTCTAAAATTAATCTATCTCAATGCAACTTTGAATAGAGATTTTTAAAAATTAAGTATTTTTAAATTGATTTGTTAAAGACTTTATATTTTTTCTTAATTTACATACAATATTTTTTCTAAGCATTTTTCTTAATATGTCTTACTGGTTTATCACATGTAATTATGATCATTCTTAATGGCATTCTTAATTCCATATCTATGTACAAAGACCAATTAGATTTTTTATTGAAGAATAACGATATAAATTTTTAAAAGGAAGGAAAAAACACTCAAAACAGAAATAAGGAAAAGAAAATAAAAATAACACACTTACTCATACACAAGCATTGGCCAAAATGTATACTTCGGTTTTAACTTTTGTAAACTAAAGTCTCAACAAGGGTTCATGTAAGATGTCCATGAAGCAAAAAAGCAACAACTAGAATTGACATGGAATCCACAAGAAATAACTCTAATACCTAAAATAGGAAATATTTCATAACTAAAAATTCTTGTAAACGTAAATAAAAAAATAATCCAGCTAATTAATTCACAAAAAAAAATTCCTGATAGTTCACATAAAATTGAGAACATTAATCACTATTGATAACCGAGCCAACGCCCTCCTGAAGCCTACGTAGAATATTTGAGCATCAGATACCCGGTTAATACCCGGAATAGGGTGTGCATCTTTTATGGGAAAGCCAAGTTCTCCACAGAGCAGCTGACGAGTTTTCTTTGAGGGGGGGGGCTCCACTTTCTGGTCAATCAAACCTCCACATCACCCCCATCTTTCCATCATCTTTAACCAGCGCGTCGGTTGCCGATTTCATTGCACAAAGCAGCGCCATCTTTCCACATCCCATCTTTCCATCCACCATCTTCAACAGCTCAAGGGAGTGTTTTTCTTTCTGGGCGCCTGCGTTGGACACCTTCACTTGCAGCTCGCCTTCACTTAGAAGCTAACACCGCCTCAAGCTGTAACGACGGTCTTTTTACTCTTCTTGAGGCAGAGTTGATCTTGGAGTTGATTGACAATGTTGCATGAAGTGGGATTTGCCATGAGGGAAATTAAGTGTTTCTGCTTTGCAGTGATCTGTCGTGGCAAATGCGTTTCGCCGGGTGCTTGCTATGGTGTTTAGTGGAAACTTGGCGGTTGCGTGATAGTTTTGTCCAGTTTGTTGCGGTTTCCTGACATGGGTAGAGGCGATTCGATGTCTGGAGTGGTGGTGGGTTCTCAGGAAGCGCAAGATGATGCGGCGCTTCTGTCCACTTTGGGCGTCACTGCTGCCAATCCCGATGACATCGAGCGCACGTTGCTAGCCCAGGTGGGTTTTGGTTTCAGAAGTATTTGGGCTTGGTTTTGATTTTTTTTGTTTGTTTGTTTTTTGTTTTTTGTTTTTGTTTTTGTTTTTTTGTTTTTTTTTTATGTGTGTGTGTGTGTAATTAGGTTTTTGGGTGAGTTCAGCAGGGAGATGTTGTGTTTCGAGGGCTTCAAACAAGAAGAGATTAGCAGAAGTGACATTTGTATTACTGAGTGTTGTGCGTGTCTTGGCGGAGGGGGGTTGTAGTTGAGCTGCGATGAATTTGGAATTGCTTGATTTGAAACTTGATTTGAAGGCATTCTAGGGTGTGTAGAGATGAGAATTTTGAAATGTGCATGTGTTTTATGTGGTGAAACAGGTGAAGGAAAAGGCTCGTGAGAGCCAGAAAAATTTCGTGAATCTCGATGAAGAGGGGGAAGCAGAGGAACAGGATGACTATGGCGAAGATTCCCATACAGTTCTCCGACACCGCTTGCAGAAGCAGTTGGTGGCATTGGATCGGGAGATTGAGGCTGTTGCCGATGGAGCACAGGCCTTTCAAACCACAGTGGATGAGGCAGCAGCCGAGACCTCCGGAATTGATAGAGATGAGGAGCAGATGTTGGAAGAGAAGGAAGATGAAAATTCTGGTGGTGCCGTCCTAAGAGGCGCCGCTCTGCACCATGCTCTAGCTAAGGATCGGCTGAAGAGTTTGCTGAAGAAGAAAAAAGATATTAGAGCCCAGCTTAGAGCTTTGAGCAAACAGGAACAGGAGGATGCAGATGTCATACGAACCCTCGTTAAAGACACATCTCTGGTTGTGAATGCGAAAGGAAAGGGGAAGAAGAAAGTGGATATGGAGGCGGCTCCATCACCGAACCCTGTGAAGAAGGCGGTTTCCTTCATTGAGGACGATGACTTTGGTGCGGCGTTGGATGCTGCATCAGGATTGATGGAAACTGTAAGCATTTTAACGGTTTGAAAATGGAAGAAGAGGTTTAACTCAGGTGAATTGAATCTAATTCTGTCAGACAGCATTTGAGGCTTGAACATTGCGCATGTATTTCACCGTCACAAACTTCTCAATGATGATATTGGCTTCGCTTGTGTCAATCATTCTGTAAAGTTTAAGAATGAGTTAGCATCATATCTTGTATGGCAGGAACGTGACAGGCTGATCCGCACAGGTATGCTCACACCATTCGATAAGGTGAAAGGTTTTGAGCGCAAGGTCCACAGAGTTCCGAAGGCTGAAAGTGAAGATGAGCTTCGCGCTAGACAAGCTGCCGCTAACTTGGCGTCATCCCTGGCTGCCTCTGCTATGTTCAGGCCTACGAGCAGATTGCTAGATGCTTCTGAACTTCCAAGTCAGGAGCCTCCAATGCGAGAATTTCGACGGTTGCGAACACCTTTGAAAACAGTCCGTCCAGAATCTGAGGAATGTCAACGTCAAGCTAAAAAGAAAAGCGACAAGAGACCGAAGCGGCCACAAGTTGATAAGAAGTGGAGAAAGAGGCCCGACGAGAGTGACGAAGATTTCGTGGTGGATGAAGAGGATGGTAAGCTCGTAGCTTTGTGATTATTGCATTTAGCATTTAGCTAAGTGGATGTCTTGGATCGGTTGGAGGGTTGGAGAAACTCTTGCTGGTGTTCTTGACTTGAATTATGTTCGCATGTGAAGAGAGCTGGAGTGAAGGTGAAGAAGGTCGTCCAAAAAAACGCTCCAGGCGAAGCAAAGCTATGCCGAAGCAAGACCCTGAGGATGAAGCCTCAGCTGAAGAGGAGGGCCTAAATGAAGACGATGTGGTACTCGATGGTGGGCTGAGGATACCTGCTAAAATTTATAATAAGCTCTTCGACTATCAAAAGACTGGAGTGAAATGGCTGTGGGAGCTGCATTGCCAAAAAGCAGGAGGTATTATCGGGGATGAAATGGGCTTGGGAAAAACTATTCAAGTCTTGGTATTTCTAGCAGGTTTACATAATAGTGGAATGTATACCCCTAGCATTGTCGTTTGTCCTGTGACGCTCCTCCGCCAGTGGAAGCGAGAAGCAAAGAAGTGGTATCCTGCTTTCAACGTTGAGATTCTCCACGATTCCGCTGTTGCATCGCAGAAAAGCAGCAATAAGAAGAAACGCAAGCCTAAGCGAGGTTCTGACGAGGAGTTTGATGAGGAAGAATCTGATTACAGCGAAAACGAACAGGAGAAGCCTGTGAAAGTGAAGAAGGATAGGTGGGATGGTATGATCGACAGGGTGGTCGATTCTTCAGATGGCATTATTCTGACGACATATGAACAACTGCGCATCGTCAGGGATAAGTTATTGGACATCAATTGGGGCTATGCCATCCTGGATGAGGGGCATCGCATAAGAAATCCTGATGCAGGGACCACTTTGATATGCAAGCAGTTGCAAACAGTTCATCGAATCATCATGACGGGCGCTCCTATACAGAATAGACTTACGGAATTGTGGTCTCTCTTTGACTTTGTGTTTCCGGGGAAGCTTGGGGTTTTGCCAGTATTCCAGGCCCAGTTCTCGTTACCTATAGCAATTGGTGGCTATTCCAATGCCACTCCACTTCAGGTGTCAACTGCTTATCGATGTGCTGTTGTTCTTCGTGATTTGATAATGCCATATTTACTGCGGCGGATGAAGTCAGATGTTGATGCTCATCTTCCAAAGAAGACTGAGCATGTTTTGTTCTGTAGTTTAACAAAGGACCAGCGGTCAGCCTATCGTGCATTTCTTGCCAGTTCTGAGGTGGAGCAGATATTTGATGGCAATCGGAATTCTCTTTTTGGAATCGATATCTTGAGGAAGATTTGTAATCACCCCGATCTCTTGGAGAGGGAACACAGTGCCGGGCATCCTGATTATGGAAACATTGAGCGCAGTGGAAAGCTGAAAGTACTTGCGCAAGTCTTGGAGTTATGGAAAACTCAAGGCCATAGAGTGCTTCTCTTTACGCAAACACAGCAAATGCTGGATATTGTCGAGAACTACGTTACTTCGAAGGGGTACGTATATCGTAGAATGGACGGGAATACCCCAGTCAAGCAGCGAATGCAATTGATAGATGAGTTCAATGAAGGTGATCATGTATTTATCTTTATACTGACCACCAAGGTGGGAGGCCTTGGAACAAACTTAATTGGAGCCAATCGTGTGGTTATCTTTGATCCCGATTGGAACCCTTCGACAGATATGCAGGTATATGTTCTTGATCTTCTCGGGTATTGATGTTTTTGATGCAACGACTGTGGCAGCTATGCTTTCCTGATTGGGGATTATCCAATACAAGATATAAGACTCACAGGATACCATTAAATTGTTGCACAACATTGATTGTTCTTGACAAATCGACGCATGAATTTGCAAGCAGTTGATTTGATAAGTGTTGTGCAGGCCCGGGAACGCGCTTGGCGTATAGGACAAAAGAAGGAAGTAGTTATTTACCGGCTGATTACTCGGGGGACTATTGAAGAGAAAGTCTACCACCGGCAGATTTACAAGCATTTTCTAACGAATAAGATTCTCCGTGACCCACAACAGCGCCGCTTTTTTAAGGCGAGGGACATGCGAGATCTCTTCACACTGCAAGAAGAGAATGCTGCAACAGAAACTTCTACTCTCTTTGCAGAAGTTGGTGGTAGCATCCAGCTGGAGGATGAAGAGAGTGAGAACGTGGGCAAAGATGTGCAAGACTCAGGAAGTAATAGAAGGCAGAGAGGGACGAAAAAGGACTCACAAGAGGAGGCGTTGAATAAGCACAGACCGGAACAGGATAACAGTCATAACTCAGAAGATGGAGAACCACAAGAAGAGGAGTCGAGAATATTGAAAAACCTTTTTGATGCGAATGGCATTCATGTAAGTATGCCTCAAAGCTCTTTCATCATGATTTTGATTTTTACCATACAATGAGTGGTTAGTCATTGGAGATGGTCGGATCATAAGTAGATTCCGAATGTCTGCTGACTAGATACGCACTGATTCTCTTATCATGTTATTTCTGCTACATCCGTACGTGAAACAGTCAGCTATGGATCATGATGCAATACTTGGAATACACGAATCTGAGAGGGTCATGATTGATCACGAAGCAAGCCGAGTTGCTGAGCGAGCAGCGCTTGCATTACAGCAATCACGGAGGTTGCGTAGTGCGGACAATGTTTCCGTGCCTACATGGACTGGCCGTTCAGGGGTCGCTGGTGCTCCTGCCACTGTGCGACAAAGGTTTGGTTCTACTGCGAATGCACGCTTGGTTGCATCTTCATCACAAGGTCAAACAAGATCCGAGGAAAGTGGTAATCAGCCTGCAATTGGGATTTCTGCGGGTTCTTCTGCTGGCAGGGCTTTCACCTCTGCTGACCTACTTGCCAGAGTTCGAGAAAGAAAACTCGATACTCCAGGTGAGTCATCCACCTTGCAAGATTTTTTTCTTTCAACCATTTCTATGTTTCAGAACGAAGTATGACGTTATGTTAAAAGATTAACTAACATAATTCTCTATGTAAATTCCAGGTACAAGTGGGAGCGTACCCAATGCAAGTCCTAGTACTAGACCTACTACAAGTAGACCACCTTCTGGTCCAGGAAGAAATGGAGAAATACCAGTACAACCAGAAGTTCTTATTCGACAGTTGTGCACTTTTATTCAAAGGGAAGGTGGGAGTGTGGCATCTTCCCACGTCGTTAACCAGTTTAGAGACCGTATTTCGAGTCGTGATGTGCCCCTGTTTCGGCAGCTTTTAAAACAGATAGCAGTTCTGCAGAAAGGATCGCTGGAGTCAAAGTGGGTTTTGAAACCAGAATACCAAGAACGTTGAGAACCTTTTGCCACATTACTTCATCTCTTCGCGTGGTTGTCTATTTGTTCCCTATCCGTTTTACCATGTGATGTTTGTACTCTTAAACACACCCCTATTATCTGCACCTTAACTTCACTCACTGCAAGTCTGAGCAGTACGATTAATCCTCACCAAGTAGTAAATTTCCAAATTTGTGTCAGGATATGTTAATATTACTTTACAGTAATAATCATGTTCATATTATAATAATTCTTGTCTACATTGAGAAAAACTTTTCCACGATTAGATTTTTCAGACAATATGGTGAAATCGTAACCAACTAACTTTTTGATGCTTTTTTGTAAATTTGGATAATACTTACCATCTTTTGGTTATTTAGGATCATTCCAAACCAACTTCCTTTTGAAAAGTACTATTCCACCTCTAAATCAACATTGATAGGTGTTTCCTTTCTACCCTGTGTTTAATGTCCATGGATGAACATTCATATGCTCAAACTGCATCATGCGCACTTTTGCTGACAAAAACGAAGTCAGGAGAATCCGAACAACAGTGAAAGGACTGGTGCCACCATAGCAGTAACACTTTCTGTTGAATTATCGGGGATAATTGTTGCATTTCTCAAGCACATGAGACCAAAAAGTGTGAGAAAACTCTACGAAAATGTCACACTACCTCAGACACTGCAAGTAACCACTGTTAGTCATAATTAATGTTTTGCCAACCTCACTGCTGCAACGATGTTTCCCGATCTGACCCCAATCAAGCAGGAGTTTTGGTGCTGCGGAATCAACCAGCGTCAAGTCTACAAATCTGACCCACTTCTTACCTGTAAAAATGTTGGCTATGAAAAGATGAGCGAAAAAGATAAAAAAGATTGTTCTACACTCGCATTAAATACCTGGAGATCTACGCCTTGTCATTGGCAAAATCGACGTCCCGCACTTCAACTTTTATAAAAACTGACTAATAAATTACAATTCCTGCACGCTGCGGGGAGCTCGTCGTCGGAGCTGTCAGTAAGCTCTAGCTGGGGTTGATCGAATTAACCCACAAACAATCAAGAGCTGGCTGCTTGACCAGAAGAAAGTTCATGCTTCTGGTGAGCGAGCCATCGTTAGCACTGCCGCTCAGATCTCACCGCAAACGTGAAGCAGGATGGATGAATGCAGAGTTGTGCCTGAGGCCGAGGTTCTTCATATCGATAATGGCTATATCATGCACTAGGTTGGACACCCTGACTGGTGATTCCTCTCTTCAACAAAGCCCATGGCTTCAGTAGCCAAGTACTCCTCGTCCCTGAACCTCGACAGGAACTGTACCAATCTGTAAACATCTGCAAAGTTGGAAACGGCGCCGAGAGAAGCTCGCACCGCCATGAACCCCCAATTCTCATCAATGATTCTGATATCATGCGACATCTCGTGCGGTGAGCCGCCCAACAGGTTCGACAAACCGGGGTTGTTGAAGTTGCCGACTGAAAGCTTGAAGTTGGACCTCGCAGCGAGCTTCCGAACGATGTCGGGTGGAAGAATGGTTCCTGAGAAATCGACTACGTTGAAGGAAACGATGCTGCCTCGGTCCTTCGTGGCGTGCGAGCCGTAAACTCGTATGAGATAGCGGGAGTCGTCGTCCTTGTGCCTCAGGGTGCGTAACCGCTGCACTAGCCATTGCACCAACGCGCGCACTCGTTTTTGGATGGCGGGTAATCCGATGCGGTCGAGCTGAATCAATCCCAAGTTCAACGCCGCAAACTGGAGGAGATTCATGGTGTTGTCGGCCGGGCACATGATGTGGCAAACTTCGCCTTCGTCTGCTGGCTTGTTGCGTAAGAAGTGCACCGCCCCTGAGGGGAAGGCCTGCACGCAAAACGACTCCCTCCGGACAAGAAGGAAGCCGAATCCGGAAGGGTAGCCTATCATGTGATGGAAAGACCCCACAACGAAATCTGGCTGATGGATCTCCAGGTCTATTGTGCCTGAGGGGAGAAGTGTGGTGGCGTCTATGCACACGTTCCATCCGTTCTGTTGAGCCTCCACAACCCAGCTGAGAGAGTGCTTCATCCCCGATAGATTCGATTGAGCAGGGTAGATGAAGAGCCCCCCGTTGCTGATGTTACGCCCTGCCTGACGCCGCAAGAGTTTGTGAAGGTCGTGGCTGTGAAAGCTGAGCTCCTTCTCCGTTACTGGCGCTAGAAACGGCCTTCCTCCCGCCCTGTAAGCTGATTTTATTACCTAAATTGGATTCCGTAACGTTCAAAGTAAGTGCCATGATTCTTATCGTTTAGCCTTTTCTGTTTCTTTTTTTTTTGTACTCACGACAAGCTACATAAGTTATAAGGACAAATTAGGGAAGGAAGTTTCTTTTACCCGACGAACAGCAGCGTGATTGTCTTGACACACAAGAAGAGGGCTACCTCTCTGGAAAGGATAAGACGCCGCAATTACTCGAAAGCTCTCTTGAAATCCAGCCGTAAAGATGATGGAGTAATGAGCTGAAGTTGTATTGAGCATCCTCAGCAACCGGTGTTGCGTGGCGGAAACGTGCATGAAGAGAGGGTTGTCTGAAGATGACGAGACAGACGCAGAGCCTAGACAAGGCCCTTCTTCCAGCAATGTTTTCATATGCTCTTCCACCTAACGAATAAAACAGAGAAATTGTGTGATCAATCAACACCACCGGAAGATTTTCAAGCAAAATAGGTCGCAGAGAGGTGATACGAGATTGAAGTGAAATCCCCACCTGAAAATTGGAGTACAGGGAGAAGCTCGCGTAATCGAGGTAGACTTGTTTTTGAAGGTCGAGCTTGGGGTACTGGTCCCGGCGCACATTGTCAACCAGCAGATGATTGAAATAATCTTCAAACTCTTCCAAGAAATCTTCCTCGGCGTCGTCATACGGAGGCAACACCGGCGGCCCGCTGTCAATCTCTTCCTCCGGCACTGAGGAGGATGTCCAGCTCCTCGTCGTTCCTCGCTCCAGTCCATCTGCCGCCCAGCTTTGCTTGGAGTGCGTATCCAAGCTCGTCCTTCTGCTCTCGACCATGTCTCTCTTGTACTCCCAACTCCCCCTCCGACTGACGGGAGTATCGTTGAAACTATCTACATCTTGGGAGCTCCACGACTTCTTGCTCGCTATGTTCGAGCCTTGCCTCCCGCTCTCAGGCTGCCTCCTCAAATCATACAACGGAGAGGTCTTTTTTGGATTCCGACTATCAGTGATTGGAGATAAGTCGTCATCGCTCAAAAAGCTCTCACTAGCTCCTCTGCCGAGATGGACTTCGCGCGGAGGCATAATGGGAAACAAACTCTCTGCGAAGGACACATTCTTCTCGGTGTCGATGTCGTAAGCCGCGTACCAGGGCGCTACAACGGGGATAGAATCAGGGCTCACTGCTTGTTTGTCGGATGGCAGTGGGTCGGGCTTGCGAGCTCTTAGCGATCGCGGAGGCGATTGAATTGGAGCTTTTCCATAGCCAGGGACATAGTGGCTGTTTTGATGCATAACTTCTTCATGAGTGTCGTGATCTCTCTGTCAAGTTCAGCAGACGGAAGGGTCAGAATTCATGTGCTAACTTCATCCCTCTCTCAGTTCTCTACAAAATTCCAAACATAATGATGATACTTGTTTTTCCGCACTTTTATGAACTTGCAATTAACCCCGGTAGCCTTAATTCCGTGTTTCTATGATCCTACGCTTTACCAGCAGTAAGGACAGGTCCATGCCTGAGGCGAGGCATGTCTTGAGCCTCGATCCTTAGACCGAAATTTCGAGAACTTGGAAAACATCGTGCTCATCTTTCTAAATCACTCCAGCCCTGTTTCCCTTACATCCAAGCCTGTTCTTGAGCGCATAAGTTTTTTTCTTTTTCTTTTTCCGAAACTGCTCTTCCGAAAGTAGCAAGGTCGCTGAATTCCCTGGTTTCTTAAAGATATTCCCTAAACCGATCACTTATATGTGGCTTGCAAATCAGCCGTGTAATAGCTCCGCTTTTCACCTCGCAATGAGTTCAATTTCTCGAACAAGACAGCTAAAACTTTCACTTGCGCCAAAGGGTTGATGATTGTATCCAAATTTTGTCCATATATCCCGGAATATAGACTCTATAACCCAAAACAGGACAAGTGGGTATAATACCAACAAAACACCTCAAAGCCTTTATCTCCTCGTCAACAACTAACAGAAATAGAAACACCTCCCGACATCAAAAGTCCGACGAGCAACACCGGAACCCTCTAACTTGGGAGCGCTACAGCAGGAGCCGTGTCACCGATACCCAATACACGGTCTGAAAGGGTTGGTAACCCAACAATTCCGTAATCAAAGCTGCAGCGTAGGTGGAAAACTCAGTGCGAACGCTGCAACGTCCGGCGGTCGGTGGCAGAATCTACAGCCGTGTGAAACCAGCCTGCCAGGTGAAACAGTCCTCGCAGCTTCCGACCACACAAACCCCCAGGAAACCACTGAACAATCAAAAGTCCCACTGTCAAGTCCCTTAGTCTCTCTGGGTTCCTCTAATCACTAGTCTGTCATGGAGAAGAACAGCTGTAAACAAGCTTCTTTCGACAGTGAAGTTCTTAACCTGGTAGCGTGTAGTGATTTGGGCATTCAGAAAATTCCAGAACCCGTATCAGTGACGTTTATTTCGTGTGTTCCACAGTTTGTATGACAACAGTCTGAAGGGATCCGGTGTGTGTGAGAGAGATCGAATGCTGAGACCCAAGTGCTGAAAATCGCCGCCGTAAACTCGGAGGCTATTGTAAGAAGTTTTCGCAATTTTTATATCGAAACTTGAAAGCTACTCAACATCAAAGGCCCACGCAGTGAAGGCAAGGAAGGAGTAGCCCAAGTTCGCAATCCCAGCTGCTCCGAAGGATACAGCACGTTAAACTTCACGTATTTGTTTACTGTATCCCCACTCTCCTAGCTTGACGTCAGAAACCGAAACAATCTGGTGTGAACAATCCAGATTTAGAAGAGAAAAGGAGTAAAGGACAAAAAATAAAATAACCTAAAAATACAAAAATCTACGGATGACTTTCGCTGGAAAAACATCAACCAACGCTGTCGTCTCCTCGACGTCCACGTTTTGCTACCCCACTGCTGATGAGCGATGGGCCACCGTACACATCAACAAAAATGGGGAACAACAGGGTGATGGAGGGTTTTTTGCAAGCTCACGCCGTGTCGCCTTAGGAAAGCGGATTGCGACTCGCATGCACCAAATCTTGGCACTTCTCAGGTCGAACGTTACTGAGATCCTGGCTGCAAATACATGTGACACAGGAATCCCGGAGAACCAGCAATCCAACACATCCATGGAACAAATGGCATGACATGGGCAGGTCCTTGTGTTCAAGCCGAACTGGCGCTGCATGAAGGATCTCGTCCCTCATTATTGGCCTCGTCATCCATTTATCTCCTCCTCATGATTCTCTTTCTTTATTCCGACAACGTCGTACTCTAACGAGATTCCGCAACAGTTGTTTCACACCCGTATCCACAAACACACACATTTAAGTGATAAATTTTTCATTATTGGCATTAATGTAATTGAACGATACTCTGCAAATACTCGACCCCACGAATACCATACGTTTGGGTTTGCTATGAAGTTTGCTGATAACAGAACTTGGAGTGCGGAGTCAAATTAGGGCTACGCATCCCGGAGAATTAGATTTTGAGGGAGCAGCACTTTACAATTGGGAGTGTGAGTTTCAAAGACATGATATCATGTTAACATCAGAGAGGAATTTCTGTGCATAAAATCATTGAGTTGGAGTGCACAATCATGCTGCTAAGCTAGAAAACTGCTCTGGGGGCTCTTAGCAAAGAATATAGTATTGTGGCTTGCCTTAGAAAATGTACATGAATGCCTGAAAGCCGCTTTGCAATAATACACTTATGGCTGAAAATGTACATGAATGCCTGCAAGCTGCTTGAATTGATACATTTATGGCAGAATTTTTTTGATTGAAACAAGCCACCAGGATATCATTAGGAGAATTTAATCTTTACAAAAGGTAGTGAGGTACAACTAGAGGTGTTCAAGCCTTGTGCACCTTGAAGGTATGTGAAGAGAAACTTGATCTAATTGTTGATATCAAGCTACACATTGTGGATGCTAAGAGTTCTGCTTCTAGAATCTGATGTTATTTGATGAGAGTGGATTCAAGTTGATATGTAAAATAACTATTAGTGCGTCTAGTTTTATTGCATGCACATGTGAGAAAGTGGTCTGACATTTTGCTTTGCAAATGATCCACGCATAAAGACAAGGTTTGTAGTGCATAAGATTATTGCATAAAGACAAGGTTTGTAGTGCATAAGATTATTGCATAAAGACAAGGTTTGTAGTGCACAAGATTATTACACGTAAGAGTACTCTTTATTTTTGTTTTTGTTTTAAATGAAAAGAACACACAATGTCCAAAGCATATTTTGAGTAAGCTTATTGAGTATTGCCCATTTTAATGGTAAATTGTGGAGTGTACATGCATAGGGTGTTGATAATACCACCACAATTTTTACTATTGCCACAATTTATTTTAAAATTTTATTTTTCATTAAAATTTAATTAAATTTCTTCAAATTTTTTTAGAAATAAAAAATAAAAAAATTATGAGAAATATGAAAAAATATTTATTGGAATAAATTAAAGAAAGAAAGAAAAATAAAAATAAAAACTAAAAAACTATGGATAGGGAGTTGTAGTGGCAATAGCAACAACTATGGTGGCATTAGCAATACCTGTGTATGTATGTGTTTCTATATATATACATGTGTGTGTATATCTTTTTTGTAATTTCTTTAGTTTTTTTTTTGCCTTGACTTTGTTTTTGGTATATATATACCAAATTTTCTAAATTTTAAAAGTATCCTTATAATATCAACAATTGATTTTTCTATAAACATAGTAATTTTTTTGCAATATTTCATCATTTATTCTTTTGATAAACAACACCTCCACAAAAAGAAACAAAAAAGAAAAATATATATATATATATATATATATATATATAATATAGTTTTATCTTTTGATAGTGATTCTAATCTTTATTTTCTATCATCAATATTGTAAACACAATTATATTTTTGTTTTCTGGTGTTTTGACAACCACTTATATAAAAATATTTTAAATGCACTTTCTATTATTTATGTAAAAATAATATTAACAAAAATGTAATTTAACTTTTTAACAAGTTAATAGATTTAAAAAGTATATATAAACCAAATAAGAAATAATGGACATTTATTCTGTGAAAAAAAATAAATGTAAGCATGTTAGATTTATAAACCTAATTCAAATTAGCTGAAGCTGTAATATATAAAATTAAATATATAATATATATTTTAATTTTAAAAATGCTAAGTGGCTAGAAATATTATACACATATTTTTTTAATATATCACATAGCTAGATATACAAATTATAGAAACTAATAATAATAAAATAAAGATGTAAATATTTATTAACACATCATTCAGCAAGAAAAAATATTTAACAAATACATTTTTTTAATATAATTTACAACAAGCACTAAACACATATTTCAGGCTTATAAGAGTTAAAGTTTTTGAAATTAATTAATTCTTAAAAAGAAATTTTCTATACAACATTACAAAAATCTCAAAATGGAATTAATTTTTTTACCTGAATGTATTTTATTATAAACCACTTCTAAAAGTATTACAAAATCAATAATTCCTTGCAATATACATTTTAAAACTCTGTATATCTATATATATATATATATACATAATGATCTGTCACAGTAGAATTTGTGTATGTTTTAAATATTAAATTATCATAAAATACTGTTAATTTTTGACACAACACATACTTTTAACATTCTGTTTTTTTCCTAAATTTTGAGGATTCTTTTAGTTCACAATATATTTTCAGTTATCATCTTTTTCAAATGTATTAGAATGTGTTGCGTTTCCTAAATTCTATTCTATTTTACAGTTGTTATCAGTTTGCACTTTTTATTTTTTCTAATTTTTTCAACACTTTGAATGATAAATAGTTGTGAGAAGAGGGAGTATCACTGTCAAATTACATATTTAGTGATACTCTAGTTTCCTTAGAAAAATGGCAATTTATGCATTGTAAATGTTAGATACAAGGATCATGTATGCACAATGTTTATCAATGCTTCAGAAAAATATAATAAATATAATACAAGTTAACCTTTAGAAGAAACAGTTATAAAGTTATTAGCATCTAAATATTGTGCAATGTGATCACATTATTGTGTGTAAGAATATTAATTTTATAAACTAATTGCTACATAGGTACCATTTAAAGATGGTGATGTTGATTTTCAGTTTTTCTTCTTTCTACTGTTAATGAATATAGATGGGTTCTTATTAACAACTTGCATTATAAAATTATTATAGCCAACCATAGTTCAATGAAAGGATCTATGAATAAGCAAAGGGCATTCAACATTATCAAAAGCTTGAAATTACTCAAACAATTTATGTCACACTGTATCAAAACAAAATTATTCTGATCAAACATTAAAAGTTACTATTGTATTCAATTATTTGAAGGTTTCCACTTGTCTTCAAATTTTTATATCTAAATACTTTAAAGCTTAATTCTTGGCAAAGTTTAGAGTCCTTATTAGTTACAACTCTAATCAAACAATGTTATTTTGTATAGAAGCTTAGTCATACTTTTAAATATAAAATACAAAATAGACTTTCAATGAATTTTTTTAAACATCTACAATATTTTAATATAATAATAAAAATAATAATAAATATTTAAATTGGTGAGTAATATTAATTCAAAGGAGAAAAAAGGACAACCAAGCTTTTGGTTGTGTTTGGCTCACATGTGTACTTCAAGTTGAGTAACTCCTTAAAAATCTTTCCAAAAATGAACCCACATATAAATAGTTATACACATAATATCAAAAAAAAGGTTACACATTTAACAAATCTGAAGATTGATAAGGGATTTTTCCTTCTTTTTTTTTCTTTTTTTTTTATTGAAACATCAAGGAAGTTAACCTCTTGAGCCGTAGGTTTCCATCAAGTATAAGAGAGATTTTATTGCAAGGGATTGAATCCATAACCACTACAAAGGGTTTTAAGAAAGAGCTTTGCACCAAAACCATGATTTTACTTTTTCGATCAGGAATGCTGGAGCCCCGTCGTTGGTCTTGGCACAGCCACGAGTGGTGTGGTGCAAGAGCCGCCATAGCTGCAAGAATTCTGATCACAACACGGCAGCACCCGCAAATCCAAGGCAGCTTGCTGGGCTTCGCCTACGTCGCCGCGCTTGGAAGTCCTAAAGGCGATGAAGATAAGAACCGGAGGAAATCCGGGCATAAACATAACCACGGTGTCAATCTCGGCCCATCCTGGAGTTCCTCAATAGAGAACCGCGATGCCAACACATTAGCGTGGCCGGGTATTTCACTGTCGACCCGGGTACGTGGCAATTTTACTGTATATGTCCATTGAAAGCTTTGATGACAGCTTCGTGAGGTTTCATTATTTTGGGTTTTAAGAAAGAGTTTTGCACCAAAACCTAAGGGATTGAATCCATAACCACTACACTTGCTTTGGGTACCTTATGCTGTCATTTGGTAGTTTAGGGTCATCTCGAACCAAGATTTCACTACTTTACTCTCAGGCAGGTTTAATATAGGGCTTAGGCTACAAGCACACATCAAATTGCTGTATACATCGTGGCCGGGTATTTCACATAATGTGTTGGCATCGCGGTTCTCTATTGAGGAACTCCAGGATGGGCCGAGATTGACACCGTGGTTATGTTTATGCCCGGATTTCCTCCGGTTCTTATCTTCATCGCCTTTAGGACTTCCAAGCGCGGCGACGTAGGCGAAGCCCAGCAAGCTGCCTTGGATTTGCGGGTGCTGCCGTGTTGTGATCAGAATTCTTGCAGCTATGGCGGCTCTTGCACCACACCACTCGTGGCTGTGCCAAGACCAACGACGGGGCTCCAGCATTCCTGATCGAAAGCCCAATTCGTCGATGATATGTGAAGTTTCATCTTCAGAGCGGCGTCGGGTGGGCTTCAACAGGGGAACACTGGTAGCGAGCAGTCGGAGTCTCCGGAGGAGATCGAATTCTCATTCCGTGGTCGCTCTTGCTGCATCCGGTTTGCTTCTACTCTCCTGATATAATGTCATGGTTCATTTCATTTTTGAGAGACGGAGAATGTGGAAGTTGGGTTCTGGTTGAGGTGGAGGAATTGGGCCTGTCTACATTGAATTTAGCTGCCAATTTTTAACTTCGAAATTTTTCTAGTCTGCATTTAGTGTAGTGCAGATACTTGCTTTCTGACTTCTTTCGGATCGGGTATTTGTTCGGGCCTCTGGTAGCGTGGTTCCGGTTTCTACTAGGGAACGGTAGCCTGATGGTCATGGTTCAGTTTGGATACCATGTGCTTAATGTGGATGGGATATCTCACTATGTCAGCATCATTGGAATGGGTTTTGATTGAGACCCCTTAGTTCAAGTAAAGTGTATGGCTCGCGAATCTATAAGTATTGTCACAGCAGGAATAGGTATGACTGAAACTTCAAACTGTTTGGTAGCTGTTTCATCTCTATGGCGTCAGTTGTTCTGCTCCCGAGGTTCACAAGTGGCAGGCTTATTACGTGATCGGGACATGAATTTCATATGATGTATCTATAAAGTAGGTCTACTTCATTTGTTGGGATCGACACAATGCAATTATTCTCAAGTGTGAAGAAACCTGTGGTAAGGTAGGAAGCAATGGAGAGATGTCTGAATTGGACACGGTGCTTGCGGAGTTCATGAAGCATGTGGATTCTACTCAACAAATGTGGCCATTGGAGGGACGTAAACCCACAGCTCTCATGCCCCCGACCACTGTTGTTAGAGTTCAGGTGAGACTTAAATTTATATTCTTGTGATTGAATTAGGTATTGCTGTATATAGAGCGCAATCTGCAGGATCAGAGAAATGTGCAACTCTTGCACGTTTATTTCTGGGGTTGTAACAATCGTTCACTAGTGAAAAGGTTAACACTGCACTTAGTGTCAGTCATCGTCGATTCTTTTGATGTCATAGAACTGGAAAAGTGAACTTGTACATGTACAATTGCAGCATGCTAAACAATTTGTCGAAATAGTGCACAGCACAACATGTGATATACGTTTCCTTGGCCATCGTCAAGGGTTTATTGTGCATCAAGGTTTTTTTTGTAATCATCATTTTTGATGTGTTTAGATGGATGCATTGATGCGCAACGATTGGCCCGAAGAAGATAGTGGCATCAAAACAGCTTTTGCTTTTGCAATGCCCGCCAGAGTGGAGGAGATACTTTCTGGCAAGGTAAATTTTCACTCCAAAGAATCTGAAGTAGCGTCTGTTTGAAGCATGCCCTATGTAAGGGCATCTTTCACGAAGAACATAGGATATTGTTAGTATGTCCTTCACATATGCATTCGCGTCAGGAGCGCACAGATTTGTATTGTAGAATTTAGAGAAGTGCGCTTTAAGCTAGAATCGGGTCAGCAACACTTGGTTACATACCGCCTTGTCATATACAGTATTAATTTATTTTCATCATTATTCTGTTACGTGTTTCTTCGAGACACACGTCGTCTGAACTTCATTTCACTAATCCCTTTCGATTCAGGCAAGGGGTTCAACGAGTTCTGCCAGAGCTTGGAATGCTGCAGTAAGATATTTAACTCTCGAGGAATTTGGAAATGTTGTCCGCGACCCCATGTATTCACCTCTGCTGAACTTCTCAGAATGGGAGGTATTACACGATTGTCACTTTGACGTCATTCTCCATGAAATGAAATGAGCAGTATCCTCTTGGTTTTGATACACGATTATCGTTACGTGTTGCTCATCCCCCAAGTTGAGGTCACGAAAATTCTGTTTTTGTGGCAACTGAGATTCTCTATATCATTCTTTACCTTAATAACTGTTTAACTTCTGACGGACATCCAGTTCTAATGTTTCTAACATGTCTTTGCAGATGGTATCGCCGATGGTGTTTCATGGGCCAGGAGATAAAAGAGGTCTACAAGCAGTGCAAGTGACTTACCACACAGAAAACGGGGACGAAATGAAAAGGATCTATACTTTTTGTTTAGAGAAGGTACGTCGGTATCCCTCTGAAGCACTTATTTGCTACAGCATGGCTATAATTTGGATGCTGAGGTGCTGGTTCTTCACCTAAGAGTGAGGCATTAAGCTGAGAATTGAGCTTCACCAATTTTTACCAGCGGGTCTGAAATTTTTAGATGCGTGACGGAATGAACCTTGTAAACTGAAAGCTTTTTTTAATACGTTTCAACTTCGTGAATGCAGGTACTAGCTGGCGCGTACAAAGATTGTTGGATGGTTGTAGGTCTTAGAGTAGGTGATTATGCCAACGTCTAGTTAATAGTTTTTCTACCTTGAACGGGACATTTCTTTCAGAGCTTCAAGTTAGGATCAATCTCCTGGTGTATGTAACAACAATTTTGACTGAGACTGAAACGAAGAGTTGCAACTCATTAAATTGCCTGAAACTGTCTTACTTCTTTTTAAACCCCTCAGTGGCAATGCATGTGATGTTTAAAACATCATTGGACTAGATTGCTCTGTGGCACTTACCTTCAACCTCGCGAGAGAATGATTTGCAGCATTTCGGAGGTTGCTTCGAGTTGGCTCTACCCATAAGAAAGGAGGCTAAAGGCGAGAAGCGACGACATAGTCTAGTATGCGTGCCATATGAGCAGGGTGTTACGTTGTTGCTTCGTCTTGCTGCATACATGGCAATTCTTATCACCAAGTAAATTAACCACCACTCATGGAAAGTGACAATCCTAACAATCGGATCAAATTAATTCGAACAGATTTTAGCTCTTCAGCTGAAGGGGAGTAGACGGAAAACTGACCACTGATACATTTGCGAGGCATTTGAAGCCATGAGATTAAAACGACTGGATGGTGCCACACAAGAGGTGGCTTGTTGCTTGTTTACGACTAAACACCTAATGGATGCCTGGATGCTTTACGTTCTACAAATCAACCCCGGATTTGTAGAGTCCTTCGAAGGAAATTTCAGCAAATCGTTCCCTGATGTATGGCTGCAGCGCTCGAGTGCTTAAACGAATACTCGGCTGTTTCAGGTGGGTACAGTATCAGAGATGCTCCAATACATGCTCCAATACATGAGAGATGGCCAAGTAACCCAGATGCGAGCAAGGATGATTTCGCAGATCCAACAGCCATGTTCACCTGGTCTAATATAACAGTCAAAACCGAAGTAATCGAATTGAATTAAGAGAGAATGCAAATACGTGGGTAAAATCAAGGAACTATAATATAGTTGCAAGAAGCGTCTAAGCCTCATCTTTCGAAGCTCATTTTGATATCTTAAATCGCAAGTATTTGACGGCGAGTAGTTCCGCCATATGACACGAGAATGACAATTCCAGAGAAGACTTGGTGCCGAACGCTACATCTATTCTAGCAATTGATTTGCTGGTAGGCACTCAATCCTGGAAACAAAGTCAGGGCACCAGGCTGGTCGAGTATGATCACTCTTCACTCTGCCTTCTTTGAGTCAGAATAATCAGTTCCTGGAATACATCTGTGAACATAAAAACCATCCTTGAATCCAAGTTGGGATTCTAAACATTCTAAACATTGTCACGTAATGCTGACTACAGTTCCAGCCGATTGCGGAAAGATCTTTGCGACGGCACCAGCTCGTCTACTTGAAATTGGACCCCTCTGGTAGACGGAATTCCATGGGCCTCCATCTCTGGCGTAATAGTCCATAGGGTACGGCCCAACTTCCAAGTCGTTTGCTGCATCCAAAGATGGCGTAGCAACGACATCCACTTTCCCTGCAGACTCCTCATTAAGTACCTTTTCTTCTATACTGAGAGATTCTACGCCTTGAACATTAGCTTCATGTGCAACATCCACAGTTTGCTTACTTGCCATGTGTCGATTCTGCGGCCAGGAGCCTTCTGTCCACCCTTCCGCAACCCACCATGGCTTAACGTATCCAAGTGCAACCTCAACTTCGTAAGGAGTTAACAATGGTCCCGGAAAAGCCTCCCCCCAATCAATCGACAGCCTGGGGCATGCAATTTGCACCCACACATCAATCGATCTGTTAAAAAGGGCGAGCTTCGAGGGCGAAAGCTCAGAAACGAGAAGAGTGACAAACTGAACCCCACGCGCCTCCAGGCGCTTCTCCAAGTGCTTCAGAATTTGTGGATTTCCTTGCCGACCGAGAGTTCCCAATACTACGCCCCACCTATTGCTCAATTGAGCTGCTTCTATAGCTTTGCGTCGAGCCTCTCGCATACCCTTCTGATCATACTTCTCGTGAGTCAGTACCCGCGAGTAAGGATCGTACCGGTAAGCTTTCACGTTAGGATTTGCTATCATAAAGGCCTCAAGATGAAATCGACCGTCAGCAACGAAGATGACCACATCGATTGTTCCTTCCGGTAGAGACGGCGATGTGCACCCAAGGACCTCACCGGGGGAAAGTGGCTTCGACTGAGGGATTAAAATGTGTGGGAAGTATCTCACAAGTTGTGTCTTCGCTACTTGAATGGCTGTTGAAAACTGAATTGTACCGGCCAATGCGAGCTTGGTACCTACCTCAAAATTGTGTTTCACAGCTCCCACCAAATGCGCAACATCAATCTGGATATCAACAAATACATACAAGCAGGGAATTTGCGACACGTCAACTGGCACCAGACAACTATGACCGTAGTGCACCAGAAACTCGGCCCCAAGCGCAGCAGCTGAGTAATCGTCCACACAGCATGCACCATAAGTAACATCCCCCAGGACAAAACAATCCTCCACACCCGCAAACTCTTCCAAAATGTCACAAATTGTGAGCGAATACAAGAGCAATCCCTCAGGGAACTGTAGAGCCACTTTCTTCGCCCCTGCCTGCTTCACCCGCCACACAGTTTTCGGAATTTCCAGGTTGTAATTGGCCGGCAGCACAGCCATCGCTGCTTTCAACGCCGGATCATTCAAAATGCTATCTGGAATCTGTTGTCGCACATACCTACGCGGCGCTCCAGATGTCTTGGTAATCGCTTTAGCAGCACCCGCCACCTCCTCCTCGGCGCCCATTATCACCGCGTAGGCTACAGAACTTCGAATCCTAAAAATCCTAAAACCCTAAACCCTCCTCTCAAGACTCCTACCGCGGCACATAACCTCCAAATTCAAGGCCAAAAAATCCCTGAAATCCGAGAGCTAGGTCGCAACATTCGTAATTACTCTTCCACCAAAGCACCTTCACGAGAAAACGGAACAAGTCTAGCCCTTCGATTCTCCACAAAACCTCGAATCATCCTAAACCCTAACGGCATGCTTGCCCGAATCACGCAAGTCTAAAATATCAATGAAGACTCAACAGCTGGAATGTCCGGTACAGAGGATTTCGACACCGCCACGGCAAGCGAACCTCTGAAACTAATCACAATTTCTAGGGGCTCGTCCACACCGCCCCCCCCCATCCTCGGAGAACACAATCTAGCCTCGAACCGTAGGCGAGTTGCAATCACCACCGGGAGGAGGGTGACGATGGCGCAACCTACGATGAAGGTTTCTCCAATGTCATTGAAGGTTCTGCCTTTTACTTTTCCCTACTCCTTTGAATCCTACTTTTTCTGGACCTTAATTACTGCGACGATGTGTGAATTGATTTTTGGAAACCTACTTTGTATACTCAATCTCATTTGTTTTAAATGCTTTGTGGAAGCTTGAATTAGAAGCATCAATAACAGGTATTGTAGAGAACTGTAATGGATTGGTATGATTAAAGGTTATCATGAAGTAGTTTTGTTTCAGAACCTTCAATCATGAATTCATTTTTTTGAATTTCTTTGTAAATAACTTCTAAATTTATAGTTCTATATGCAAATTGCAACTTCAACATGCAGTAATATTCTCCGCGAGCTTCAATGGGATGCTTAAAGAAGTTTTTGCATTTGTAATCCTTTTGAATGAGAATTTGCGACTGAAGGGGTTTCTTCCATAAGAATCTATGTCGGGTAGTGTTTCTAAACACCCCTTCTAGAAACTGATGTACGCATATGCAACACTACTGCAACATTTGATTTCCTCGACATTTTTTGGAGCTGTGTTAATTTTAATGCTAGAGTAGAGTACGTAACTGAACTGAAAAAGTCAGGCCAGAACGAAGAAAACGAAGTAATACACTCAGGATTGATCGACTCCTTACAGTTGAATTCAATAAACCATGTAATGCCTGCTCCCTATACTGTATTAAGAGCCAATATATAATTCAAGATGATTTAGAAAGAGTACAAACCAGCAATCCAGCAACACAGGCACAACATTGTGAAATCCAACCACGTAGCCGAAAGGTGTACACTACTAAGAAGGGAAATAAAATATTACATGATACCCCAGAAAAAGAATTAAGACGCACTAGCGTTGACAACAGCTGAATCAGCCTTTTGCTTTGCACTGCCTTTCTGTTTCTTCCCATCATTTTTCTTCCCTCCCTTTTTCGGAGGTGTGCTCTGCGTCTCTGGTGCATTTGGAACTTCTAACCTTTGAAAAATAGGCTGAGCATCTGCCATCACCTGGCCGCTTTTTAATCCGCCCCACTGCGTGTCATTCTGCGAACAGGATAAGACGGTTAAAACGATTGGTTATTTTCAACTCTTGCACTACACGACACCCTTCAAAACTACACGAGAGGTTCTGGTTGCCTAACTCAAATCGTAATACTTCATTGAACTGAAGCTGTTAACTGAACAGGATCAGGCACGCAGGAAAACTAAGTTCCATGAAATGGAGAACGAAGTGATACATGGCGACTTACCCAGGAAATGGATTTAAAATCTGCTTCAGTGAAGCCCAGTTGTAAGTAGATCCGATTACAAAGCTCCGGAACAACAGGTGAAAGGGCTACAGCTATTATTCGAACAGCTTCCAGAATTACTGTCAACTCCTGCAGTTATCACATTAACCACAACTCAAATGAACTCAGGCAGCTATCGAGCAAAGAATAGACTGTTGTTCGCAATATCAATTCTGCGCACAGTTAGAATTTATATTACGGAAGGAAAGACCTTTTTAATGCACTCGTACATGATGTACCAGAACACATTTTTACTGGCTACAGGATCGTAACATAAAATCCACATCCTTTCAAGTGAGTGAAGATGAATATCAGGATACATGTCATTTTGAAAACATGATTGAACATTGCACTATTGCAACCTCAATGAAGTAAATGGTACCTGAGCTGCATCCTCTGCAGCGGAGCCACCTTCCTTGAAGAGAGACCAGGGGGCTTTCTCACTCATGTAGAGATTGCCAGCAGTAGCAATTCCGAGGATGATATCACATGCTGACGAGTAGTCCAATTCTGAATAGTGAAGCTTTGCTTTACTAACCTGATCACAAATCGCAAAGTTTGTTGGTCCTACTCACGTGGGAAAATTCATCTTACGGGTATATGAGAGAAGTATGACAAAAGCAGTAGGGAGGAGAAAGCAGGATTCAAATGTATAAGAACTTTGTAAGCTAAGAAGTCAAGTCGTGCAAACGTATTTGCAACAACACGGACAAATGTTGCGTCATGTAACAAGGAGAACTTGCATAATCAAACTATTTTGTGCATGATTTAACGATTCTTACAGATTCAGCTGCGAGGATTCGTATAGGATTTTCCTCTGAAATGGAGCTCGAGTCAACAGGAATAACGGCATCGCAGTTTTTTTTCAGTAATCCGAGTGTACGATTCAGCAGATTGCCTGCAAGACCCAGCTTCGTCAGGTATACATAAGTAAAACTAACATACTTTGTAACGATTCAGAATTGCTAACTAAAAAATTTACACCTGTAAGATTCGTGAAGGAAAAAACCAAAAAAACAAAAAAAAAAAAAAAAAAACAAAACAAAACAAAAACAAAAACAAACATACAAACAAAGTAACTCATTAACCCAAATCTTCCATTAGCCAACTAGACCAATCATCGTTGAATTACCAATAGTGTTGGCCAGATTGGCATTGACAATTTCGATAAATCGCTTCTCAGAAAAGTCTCCGTCTTTTCCAAATTCAATCTCCTTCAGAAAATAATAACGAACAGAATCGGGACCGAATTTTGACACCAGCTCCCTGGGCTCGATTGTGTTACCCAGTGATTTTCCCATTTTCAAACCATCCTGCAGTAATGATTTCAATCTATTAGACTTTAGTTCTTGGCAATATGAGGAAGAACTGAGGCGGTGATGAGAACTATCCTTTCTCAGGTCTCCTAAAACCGCATCTCCAAAGATGTTTCGATGGGAACGTCAGTGCACACCATCATTGTACAAGAAGTTGAAAGATGGGTCTGAAGGTGTGAGAACCAGCCCACGCTTCCTTTTATAAAAATTTGTTTACACAGGGAGGAAAGAACTTTTACTTACATACCTTTGTCAGAAATCCGTGGCCAAAAACAGCTTCTGGAAGGGGTAGATCGGCAGACATAAGCATTGCTGGCCAATATACGGCATGAAACCTCAAAATGTCCTGTACAGCGACGTCCATATTTTAGGAGCATTGTAGTTCAACCTGGAGCTTCTTCTGCAACTGAGCACTTTGAACCAGCAGTTGTGGTAGTCGACTCCAGTAAACAAAGAATTTCAAAGGTATATATGCACTTGACGATGGATGATGACAGCATACGTCAAAAAATTGAATGAGTAGAAACCCAGGTTCAGTAAATGAATGGCAACAAACCTTGCCGATGATATGCACAGAAGCAGGCCAGCCCCTCTCGGTTGCATTCGTCAAAATCGGCTCCTTTCCTTCTGGTAGAAGAGCTGATATATATCTGTAATGACCGTGTTACATTTGATATGTCTATCACATTGAAAAGAAGAAATAACTGCGACATAGTTTTCAAATGCACAACTATGTAGAAAGCTTAGGATGATAAAATATACAAGAAGCTGTGAGAAAAGGAGAAATTAAAGATTACAGCAATTCACTTCCCAGACCATGTGGACAGAAATAGCAAGGAGAAGGCCGCGTAGAGGAAAAGAGAGAAGAAGTAAAAGTGAAAGCGTGGTACCCAAGCAGAGCATCAAACCACACATAGATAGTTTGCTTTGGGTTGGTTGGCACAGGAATACCCCATTCTACTGCTGCTCGCGAGATAGAAAAATCTCGCAAACCTTCCTTCACCCACCCTTGAACCTGTTGTTCTCATGTTAATAACCTCTCAGATACGGAATAAAATATTGCCGCTACCGAATCAAATACGCCGCTACAGTGAGGCTCAATTCTGAAATATGATGAGGTGCAATCTGCAAAAATTCAGATTCATTTCTAGACATAACTATGTAATTCTGAAATAGATAGCGATTAAAATGCCTCAGTGACATGTCCAACCTCATTCATTCGAAAAGAAGGTCGCACAAAGTTTGGGTTGGATGAGAGAAGCTCTTCTAGCGGTTGCTGGTACTTGGACAGAGCAAAGAAATAGTTGTCTTCATTGCGGGCCTCACAAGGCTTCCTATGGATAGGACAACACAGATCCTCTATCAACTCGTCTTCATCCTGCCCCACCCCTCTTCCCATATGGCCCTTCCAATTAGTTTAAGCACAAACCAACCTTGCTGACAGACTGACGTTATTCGAGCCAATAAATACATTTTCTACCAATATGCCCGCATACAAGACTAACAAATGAATACCAAGATTGTGGCAGGAAGTACTTAAGCTAAAAAGCCAAGACGCATGTGGTGCAAGTTACTGGGAACGCTACAGACATGAGTTGTGATATCGGGTACCTTATACTCCTCACAGTTGACACAGTAGAGGCCCTCGTACTTGGCCTGGTATATGTCTCCTTTCGCTTCAACACGCTTATAAAATTCATCTACTAAAGTCTCGTGATGACTGTCGGTTGTCCTTATAAATTTGTCATAAGCTATACCTAGCTGCCACACAGAGGAGAACCTCAACACGTCAACATTTAATCCTTCACTTTAAAACAAAAGGCAGCAATAAAGCAGTGATTTGAGCAGAAAAAATGGAGATCTACTCATGATTACAGCAGATAACTCTCCTGCTTAAAAGTTGTTAATCATATCACGATAAGTCGGCACGAAATAAACCTCCAGAGAAGAACACACAACAAGGTCCGAAAATATACTAATTCCAAAGAACAACAACAGATAAATAAATAAATAGAAATAACTAGAAATAACTAGAAATAATTACAGAAATGAATACATTTTGAGTGTTTTGGGCCAAGAATTATAAATACTGCAGTACTGTCGACCGTCTGTATATAACCGGTTATTGAAAAACATTCATATATATATTTATATATATATATATATATATATATATATATATATATATATATAATTCGGAAAAAAAAACTTTCTCTTACTTCTTTCCACAAAAGTTGATATTCTGCAGCGACAGCATCGCAATGTTCCTTAGGAGCCCGCCCCTTGGCAGCGGCAGCGAGAGCGATCTTCTCTCCATGCTCGTCAGTTCCTGTGATAAAATTCACATCCCGCCCTTGCAGCCTCTGCACACAACCACCCCCGCGCGCCGTCAGATCGAGAAACCAAACCACTGGCATCAACTATGAAAACCGAAAACCGCACAGTAAGCTCTACGAGCGATGAAATTCCCCAAGACCGAGTACAATCAAACGCGACGAACATCCAGCGCGCGAAGACAATTACCTGGAATCGAGCCAGAGCATCAGCAGCAATAGTCGGATAAGCGCTTCCCATGTGCGGGGCTGCATTCACGTAATAGAGTGGCGTGGTGACAGTGAACCGCTCTCCTCTGCCCGCCTCGTCGCCGCCATTCCCCTCGGCTCGCACAATTACCGCGCCACCTCCACGTTTGGCGACGCTGAAACTCCTAGAGTTCAAAACCTTGCCGAATCGAGAGGGTGTGAATCCAGAGGGCGCGTGCAGAAAGAAAGTCCGGGGGAATGCAACCGAGCGGGCATGGTCCAGCACTCGCGACGAGTGGCAGGTAGCCAGGCGCGCCGGCGATGGCGACCATTGCAGCCCTTTGAGCAAGGTCGCCATGGCCAACAATCCTCGAGTCTCGGCTCCTCTTCTCCAGCACGGGCCTTAAACTGTGCTTTCCTTCCCAAGGGGTCGATAAATCTTAGTCCCTCGGGGAAGAGGCGAGCAGCGCCTCGCCTCGCTTCCCCTCCCACGGGGGAGATAAGGCCTTCATCGCATGGGTGCATTCACACGACGATGACGTGGACATCCCATGAGGACGTGGACGTTATAATGCTGACGTGGATATTGCGTGACTAAGCCTTGGATGATTCCAGTTCCACCACGGTGTTGCATGATGAGCCGTTACATACTTGTTCAACATTTCCAGTTTCAATTGGGAAGTTGGTTCAATGTGATGATGAGTTAATTACAACACTATCATACAATGTTAGCATGAGGATTTATAGCCTTAATCTAATTGGAAGGTACAAGTGATTGGAGAAAAATGATAACTTTTTTGAATATTTTTTTGATTTATACAAATGTATCTTTTTTATTCTTCTTAACTAATGTTCCTTGTTTTACTTGATCGTATTTGTTGGAACAAAAGGTTGTTCTTAGGTCGTGAACTTATATCCCTTAACTAATATTTTTTGCATAATTTATAAAATTTCCATGTACTAAGACTATAAATTTACTGGGATACATTTGTGCATGCAAGGAAGAGGCAATAAATCGTTAAACGTCTTATGTGAACAACTTCACACTTAACCATTAATTCATTAATTTGTATGTAAATATTTTGAAATGTTAATAATATGTGCCATTTACAAGAAGTAGCTTAAAATTATCAAATGATAGAAAACTTCTCATTCAACATACAACATACTAAATATAATTCAGTATTATTATTATTACTCGAAAAGAAAAAAGAAAAGAAAAGACACATTGCAGTACATATTATTTTAATTTAGTTCTATTAGACATGAAATTGTGTAACACTTACATTTTTTTTTTTAATCTTTTTTGAACATGATCAATTTTTTGAGTTAAAAAACAGATACATATATAATTTTCTTTTTTCAAATATTTTATATTGAACGTTTCTGCTCAATCTAAATTAGAACCTCACAGTCCTTGCAAATATATGAATATATATACATATATATATATATATATATATAAGATTAGTTACGCTTATGATCTAGTTGAATTAAAAATAAACCGTACATACCAGTTAAACATTTAAAAGCAAAACGGAAATTCAGACTGTGAAAGGATTAATCCATGTTCACTTGTTTGTAAAAAAGTAATTTTTCTTTACTTACCTTTCTAACATCATTATTTTATTTTTATTAAATTTTTCCTTCATGCACTCTTCTCTTAAAAAACAAAAGACTAAATGCAGAGTCGAATATAAGAGCTGACAAGAACAATGCATCAAGATCAATGCACCAGCAGATTTAACACCCGAGTTGTCCAAAAAGCCAAAGGGTAGGGTCGGGTATGCGCCCGGGTATAGAGTTAGGGTATCTAATCCGGGTCTCGGAGGCCGGGGTCGGTGGGACGGGGACGTGGGCTCAAGGCAGGCAGCAGAAAGGATGACGAAGGAGGTCATGAGTGGGCAGGGGAGCTCGGTAGCGGGGAGTTGGGCTCGGACTACAACTCTCACTTCACGGGTACACTGCTTCCGCGGATGAGGAAGTAAGAGCCTGGATCTCGAGCTCCCCATTTCCGCAATTCGGCATTGAGACATGGGTCTCACAGCAATTGTAGTAGATGTAGCACAAGCGTCCTCGTCCAGTGTTGCACTCAGCCAAGGCAGGGGTGCCACGCGGAGACTGCCAGGCGGATTGGCGCTAGGCGATGCATTCAAAGGGCTTCGCAAGCGGGAATATGCACAAGGATTGCAGTGTAGGGTTAGAAGGGAAGGTGGTTGCGCAAGCGAGGCGAGAGTATGGAAAGTTAGGTGCAGCTCAGACAGTGCTGGAAGCCTCGGAGGGGACTTGCCAGCTTCCCAGCCACAGCAGAGCGAGGTGAGTGGGATTCGCGACCCGGCAGCTGCATCTGCGGCATCGTTTGCCCCTCTGCCGCAGCGAATTGCGTTGTTCTACGACGCATTCTGGCGCTTCCTCCGCCCGCACACCATTCGTGGGACGTTTCTTGGGACGAGCGCGCTCGTTACGCGTGCATTGCTGGAAAACCCCACGCTTATCAACTGGGCGCTGCTACCGAAGGCGCTTCGTGGTCTGCTTGCGCTCTTGTGTGGGAATGGCTTCATTGTGGGTATCAATCAGATATTCGACTCAGGAATTGATAAGGTGAACAAACCATTCTTGCCAATTGCCGCGGGAGATTTATCTGTTCCTGCTGCGTGGGCGCTTGTCGGGGGCCTGGCTGCATTAGGGGTTGGCCTTGTGGCTACCAATTTCGGCCCTCTCATCACAACATTGTATACATTTGGCCTGTTCCTTGGGACTATCTATTCGGTGCCGCCGTTGCGGTTGAAACAATATCCCGTTCCTGCCTTTATGATCATTGCCACAGTGCGCGGTTTCCTCCTCAACTTCGGAGTCTATTATGCAACACGAGCTGCGTTAGGGCTTTCATATGAATGGAGCCCGTCCGTCATGTTCATAACCATATTTGTGACCTTGTTTGCTACGGTCATCGCCATCACGAAAGATCTCCCCGACATTGAAGGTGACAAGAAGTTCAACATTTCGACATTCGCTACCAACCTGGGAGTGCGGAAAATATCTTTCCTTGGTGCTGGTCTCCTCCTGGTAAATTACATCGGCGCCATTGTAGCTGCCTTTTACTTGCCCCAAGCTTTCAAGACGAAGATCATGGTCACTGGTCATGCTGTCTTAGGGCTGAGTCTCATCTACCAGACCTGGTTGTTAGATACCGCGAAATACTCCAAAGAAGCCATATCCAACTTCTACAGATTCATTTGGAACCTGTTCTACTCTGAGTACGCTTTATTCCCGTTTATATGATGTACTCAGTTTACCTCTCCTTCCCTTCGTTTCCCTGTGTACACAAAATTTTGTATGAGAGAGCTGCACATTGAACCTACCTTTGATTTGTGCGTGAGTGCTGCTCTTGTTAAAGTGTTACTCTGTGCAGAAATTTGCTGAATCTATGTTATTGCTACAGTCAATCACGTTGAGTAGAAAGCCTCTTCAACAAGCTTCGGGTCTGATCTGACGAGGCAGGTTGTTCCTTGTTCAATCTTGCATTTGTTAGCATTAGATGGTCAGAATTGCTTTTTTAAGGTCCATTCAATCGTCATGTGGTGTATCAGGCTCTTCTTTTTGTCCATACAGGGCAAATCTGATGATCGTGGACCACCAATTCTAAATTATCTCCAAACATGCTGATCATCCCAGATCGTGCTAAACTTAAATAACATACGATGGCTACACGCTGAACCAATGGAATGTAGTGGCGGGTGACTAGTGGCTGAGATTGTACTTGTTACTTCTGTAGTACGATGGATCAGCAACGGTTCAGTTAATGGAACAAGCGGTGGCCACGCTGTAGCTGCTTCTACTCTGCAAAGTCCATGCTTAACATGTGATTTACGCTCATTTGTCGAAAACCACACCAGTGTTGACACAATTTCAAGCTTGACATTTTTTTTAAATCAGTAACAAACTTGAATGAATTCACACAGTATTAGGAAATTAGTCACAGGAGATCTCAGGACGATTTAGACCCATATTTGCTCAATATGATTGATGTAGTACTTCTGGACGAGCCCAGGTGTTGGACAATTCGGTACAGATGATTATTTTTCCACCGTTGTAAATCATGAATACTGTCCAACACCAGATCAAAGGAGCAATCTGGCATGGCTCACAACTGATGATTGGACAAAATATTTGGTTTTTTTATTTTTTCTCACTTGGGTTGAAGGATTGATCTGCCACTACATTTTGGTGAGTGATAATCGATCAATCCCTAAGTCATAAACTGACAGTGGTGAGCCTGAGAATTGCATCTGCCTTCACACGCTGGTTGGCAGTTTCATGAATTCGAGGGAGTTGGATGAGCCTAGCCTCTTTCTAGCACCCAGATACTCCGCATAGGTCCTCGCCTTGTACTGGTTGGGCCCAGATCTTAAAATCTCTGGAGGGGGAATAAGGGTAACCAACTTTGACGGTGCCAGACAATGAGCTACTGATAGACGCCCTTCCACCTCATTTACCACTATCCTGTGCGAGGGGCTCGCGATCTTGCCGTTTGTCAGAATCTGCGGCCAACACGTAAGTATTTTGCACCATAACCTCATAAAATAAACGGCTCCAGTTGAACAGCTTCGTAAGTTTCAACATTCTCAATGCACTTGAGGATGAGGATCAGTGGTTGGCGAGAATTGCTAAACGAGAAAAACGCATAACTGTAATTTTCGTACTTGCTGCACTAACCTCAAACACGTCGCCAACGTTGACAATCAGAGCATCTGCTCGAAACGGGACGCCAAGCCATTTTCCGTTTCGATAAATCTGCAAGTTTCCAACTCCGCTATCGTGCTGCAGCGTGATGAGGTATGGGTCAGTGCGAGGACGGAGACCCATTGCATTCTCAGGTCGTGGACATGGTGGCATGTAATTCCATCTCAATGAAGCTTCAACTCCTTCTAAGAAATCATCGAACCGCCAGGCCTTCACCCCTAAACCCACGACGAGAAGCTTCACGATGCGCTTAGCAAGCTTCTTCATAACAACGTCATACTCCTTCACTGCAGTCCTGTCAAGAGCACTCAAAGTTTCGTAATCAGGGGGCTGAATCTTCATTCTCTACTTATTTCGCTACTAGATCAATTAAATAGACCGTGAAGACAAATTTATGCAACCCGAAGCAATCCTTAATTCATTAAGATACGCCATTGGAGTTTTTTAAAAAAAACCTCTGCAGCACTCTGTTAGGTCGAAGAATGTTTTTATTTTTTATTTTTTGTGACTTTTGTATAACCACCCTACCCTAATACATGCCCACATTGCTATCAGAAGATGCTTGCTACTCATGCCAACGCCCATGTGCAGCCCAAGAGGATTGTAAGGGACCATATACGTACGAGAATTCATGGTTGTTCTCCGAAAAGGAGAGCTGGTTGTTGTACTCATCCAAGTCGGTTTCAGCAGGTTTCACTGCAACTCTCCCAGACCACCACTTGATTTTCCCCAGCAAGGAACATTGTGAAGGATGTTTCACCTCTTCAGCGGCCGACAATGAGAAGAATTCGTACGCCTGTTTCTCTACCTTCTGCATGAGCTCCAACTCCACGCCATGGTTTATAAGATAGAAGTAGCCCCATTGCTCGCACGCACCCACCATCTTCTCAACGTTCTTCTTCACGGTGTGGGCGTCAGCATCGAATAGAGCCATGTCCATTTCAGGAATCGTCTCGTCCTTGAGAAATCCCTTACGGTTGACGAAATTAGAGAATGCGGGGCTACTGTGCACCAGCAAGTCATGTTGACAGACGCTCACACTGCCCACCCTAGACTCTCGCCCGTGAGCCGACTGATGCATGAATTGTGCTGAAATCTTGTGTGAGGAAGAGTCCATCAGTTGGCTCCTTGGCAACGACCGTGCCGCCTCAAGCACCACAGTGCCCTTCCAAGTTTTTCACTCCACGCAGGAGCACCACCACTAGTAACTCGCAAAATCGGAATCATCGGTCACATTTCCAGCTGAGTAAACGTCAACTGCATGAAGGGGAAAAAATCATACTGCTCGTTACTATCCACAAAAGCAAAACTTTGTCCCGATCTGCACACTTAACCGCGTCCAACGAGCTCCAACATCACCAACATGCAAAACTCTGATCCACCTTCCCAACTCAGCAAGTAGAACACAGGGCTCTGCTCAAACCAAACTTCTAAAGCATGTGACACTACTACTTTAACTTACAAACAGTGTGACAGGGATTAAGGCATATGTCGGTAAGCGTTGAACGGAATCACCATAGCTCTGAAACTGTCGAGCTGCAGTGAGCAGAATGCCGTCCTCTACCAACCATGTTCAGAAGAAATAAACCACTTGCTTGAAAGTGGCTGCAGAGCTCGATCTTGACGAGATGCAGGAGGAAATGGTGCGACTTGCAGCGTCATTGGGGATGTGAGAGAGTGGGGTTGTGAGGATTGTGGCACATGCTGCGAGTTACGGAGCTTCAGCTTGGCGGTGATGCAGTGCAGTGCAGTGAGTGTCTGACACTGTGTGTGTGTCTTTATGTTTCTATTCATATGACTTCGACTGCATGATTGGATTGATTGAGTCTTTACTTGTGCATGTGGTGCTCAGCACTGACCTCTTCCACCATTCATGAGGACGGCAACTTGGTTTGCGATGGCTTCAAACTAACAAAGTGCATAGTAAAGGTATAGTAATGGGGTCTTTCTACATACGGGACAAGGTGAGGTTGTAAATTATACTATCCTTTGAAATTCAGAAATCTCTAGTTTTGAGTTTTTCAAAGGTTTGAGAATTTAAGGTCTTTCACTTCCTACACTAATTGTTAAGATTTTTTTTAAAGAGATTGGTGGTTCAAGTTTTTAGTTGGTTTTTAGTTTTTAGTTGGGATTTTATTTTTATTTTTTTATCTTGTTTATGTAATGGATACTACAACAAAGATTATTACTTTTTGATGTGTGAAAACATATGAATAAAACGAAGTGAAACTTACTTGTATCACTGCTCCTTTTGATAATTCATCATTTGTTTTTATTAATAACTCAATTTATTTTTTGCATAAGTACTTTGATTTTATATAAATATATTATTATTATTATTATTATTGATGAATTTTAAAAAAAAGCATTTTAAATTTTTATATGCTAATATATATATATATATATATATATATATATATATATGTATATATATATAGTTATGTTTTATTTTAATGATACAAGTTATGAGATGGTTTAGTATTACATTGGATACTATTTGTGAAAGATTCAAATCATATTTTATTTAAAATTAAAATAACTTTAAAACAAAAAAAATGAATTTAAAAAATAAATAATTTAAAGATAAATAGTATGTGTGTGTTTATATATATATATATATATATATAGGAAAATATATAATTTACCCATCTAATTTCACCTACTTGCACTTATTTTACACTCATTCTCTTCTTGTTTTGTAGCTCACATTTTATTCCTATTTTGCCCCTATCCACTTCTCTCTTCATTGCTTTTTATTTTCTTCTTATTTTATTATGGTGTATTATTTTTTTTTAAAGCTCAAAAATTCACTTTGACTTTGTGTTATTGATCCATTAGAGATGTCTTAAGTAGAGTTGAGAATTTTAATGTTGTGAGACTGGTTTCATGAGTTGAATTTTAATTTCTAGTTGTTTGCTGTAAGAAGATGCTGCAAGCAAAGGTAGGTAAATTTAAGATTTGCTTGGGTCAAATTACTATTTCTCTTGTCTTTTATCCATCTAAAGAATATTAAATTTGTGCTGCTAATTTATTGAGTAGAATTATAAGTTTAGAAGAAAAAAAAAAAAAAAAAAAAAAAAAACCCCCCCCACACACACAGAATTTTATAAAACAAAGACATTATTATTTTTAAATATTGACTATTTCTTTAAATATAAATATTTAATAACCAAAAAATATAAAATAGAATAAAGTAAAAAAGATGATAAAAATGTCATATTTCTCTTTATAATATATACTTAAAAATACACACATGACCATTTTCTAGGTATTCTTTTCATAAGCATTTTCAAAGTAGTCAATGACACTAAACTATATTTGTTACTATATAAAACTCTATATCATTTCTCCATTCATTCTCAATATCCTATTTAATCTCTATTACAAAACACATCCTAGGGAATATAAATCAATAAGATAAACTAGAGAGACAAATTGGTCTTTTGATTGGTTGCATCACTCAATTATCATTATTTTCACCAAAACTTTAGAATGAAGCAAAAGCTTTGATGAAAACAATGCAACCAATTAGGTTAAATATGAATTCAAACTAAGATTAAATAGAGGTCATCAACCTTATCGACTACAAGCACAAAATTGGCTACCTTGAAGATAAGAATTCTCCACTTTCAATATTATTAGATTGTGCATGTTCCCTCATTAAACATCATTGTATGTCTGCCATAGCTACTACGTCAATGAAGAATATTTCTACCATGCAAGGTCAATAGTTGATAAAATATTTTGGCTCCGGAGCAGCGCCGCGGCGTTTCTCCCATCGCCGCCTGGATTCATTGATCATCACCTTCGTTAGCTCGAAGTCTCGGTGGGTCGTTTCGCACTAGCGAGTTTGCTGCTGAGATGCGTGACAATGGGGTGAGCACTTCCCAGTGTGGTTTTCTGGATTTTTTCGGGGTGAGTCATGACACGGCGTCACTCGTTCTAGGATTCGTTTCTGATTCACGCCAAAAATAAAATAAAATAAAAGCTTTTAATGCAAAGCTACACTTGCGTCCCTTCTTTGCTTGGTTCACAATCGGTTCGTTTCCGTTGCTTCGTTCGATGATTTGGTCTTCGGCTCTGAAGCTGCTCTTGAATTCTCCTCAGCGGTCGGTGGGCTTTGTTGGGCTTGGTCTCGTCGTACTGCGGGCAGGGTTGATTATCCCGAGTGTGATCGTTGCTGGTGCTTAGTCTCTGTGTGCGTTGCATTGTATTACCTTGGTATTTGCCGATAGCTGCTGGTGCTGGTCTTATCAGCCTGTTCTTGAAGAAGGGAAATGTTCTCACTTCGTCCGATACTGTTGAGAACGCATATTCTTGTGAATGGCAAGACCAGAGGTGTGTAGTTTAGCGATGTCCCTGTTCCGATATGTTACAATCTGTAGGCTGGAGATTCCTTGTGCCCTGTTAAGGACGTTTGATGGTTCATTGAGTAACCCCGTTGGTCCCTGTGATTATCCTCGCTCAAAAACCTCGAACTTAGCACAAAAGTTCAAGGTTTCATCTAACCTCAGGGGAATGTGAAAAAATTGCTGAACATTATTGGGCAAACAGTCGACCAAACATATTTAATGAAGCGAGTAGTGCATGTTCACAAAATTATGAGAATGTTTGTACTCGCGATGATGGTAGATTCTTCGGAGTCTTGGCGTTGTGTGTAACCTTGAAGAGCAGGAAATGAAGCTGTAATTGTATTAGGGTTCTAACACATCTCTTGTTAGTAGGAAGTGTTTATTTGTTAAATTCCGTTGAAAATGCTATATCAATATTGTACTCTTTTGCTATGCTTCGTGCTTGAGAAACCTATAAAATGGGGATCTTCAATTGAGATTCTTGCTCCAGGATCACCACTCCAAGCAGAGAGAGAGAGAGAGAGAGAGAGAGAGAGCTGCAATTACCTCTGAAAACCTAACTGCAGAGTGGGAGAATGTAGATCCTATCGTTATAGGTTGGGATAAGTGCTCACTCCTCCCTCAGCCTTGGTGTTGGAATTCAATGCCTTAAGCCATTTACAATCATTTCACAGGCAAGAACATAAGATTTTTTTTCATGCATCTATCCGTTCCAAAGGTTTGTTGTCTCGACTTAAGGCTGCGATGCATGTAGCCGGAATATATTGTTTCTGGGTCGACTTCTCTTTTGAAGGGCCTATAATGAACATGATATTATGGTGGACACCACAGATATCGATCAAGTGACTGTTAAACACAATATATTCCGGCTACCCCTGTATTCTCAAGAGTTGAGTAACTGGACAGAAAAGGGCGTCCTTCAGATGAGTGCGGAAATCTGGCCATAAAGCATGCTGCTAAGGCGGTGCTGTCAATTGTGAGGCAGGACAATCGAAGAGTTTCGAATTTGAAACCTGCCCCACAATGGTCTGTAACATCTTCCAGATGAACCTGAAACACAAATCTGGCGAGTGGTGGTACTGTTCTGTGCTCTACAAGCTGGAACGAACTTGATGAACTTCTATTTCCAGTGTACTATTTTGGCACCTTCTCAGGAGACCCTTGGCGCTGTACGACACAACGCAAGGGACTCGGGAGTTTCTACCTTGTTATGCAGGTTTTCTTCTTTTGACTGTAGGTTGCTCGCTTAAACGTCAAGAACCCGGGTGATAATCTCTCAACAAAGATAAATTAATATTTGGGGTGATCACGTCTGATACACCATGCTTGGTGTTTCCAGTTCATAAGAAGCAACCTTTACTCTTGCCAAGGCAAGAAGTCCGTGGAGGCAAAATGATACCAAGTGGTTTGTCTCTAAGCTTGTGAAATTGGAAAGATTATGTGGGGAATATCACACCAGCGAACCGGATTTTCGTGTGCAGCACTGGGAGCTTCTCAAGTCGGTTGTCTAACTGCATGCTTTTATCACAGGAACCACCGGGCAGGCAAAAGGATTGGCTGGGCTATGCCAAGTGAAAGGAATCGAGAGCTCCGGTTTTAATATGGATCAAGAGCTCCTTCGAAAGCAGAGCAACAGGAATGGGCTTATTTTGACTCAGATTTGAACACCAGTTTTTTGCAGCATTCTGGGGTGGAATATTGGATACTCGTGCATGAAAAGCTCGGCGACTTTGGAGGTTTATGTGGAAATATGCCTTGGAAAAAAAAGCAGAAAACAGGTAACAGTTGACGCTTCTCCATCACCTTATGCACAGTAGTAATGCGTTTGTCCTCGATCTGGTCATGAAGCTGTCAACAGGAATTTGAAGGCAGATGGGGAGACCAAGCATATGTTTGGACAGCAGGGCGACTGGGCTATGAATTCCCTCCCTCATTCATATATATATATATATATATATATGTGTGTATGTGTGTGTGTGTGTTAAATTACAACTAGATAGTAAAGACCTGACATTTCAAACTTTACAGTGTATGTTGTTTTTTGGCTCGGCTGTAGAGGAATAATGCAGCATGAGTATGTCTGTGGGCAGAGTATTTGCTCATTTTATCCCACTGTCGATGTTATTTAATTGTTATGCAATCCATGTACAAATGTTCTATGTGATTTACAAAATCATTTGTTATTGCGTCATTAATACATGATTGGGAATTTTTGAATAAGTCCGTGAGATTTCTCATCGTTGGTAATGTGTACAAGAAAGAAAGTCAATCATTCGTCTTTTTGAGAACTTTGTATTGATGTTTAGTTTGCATGTTGAATTTGGCTTTTTGAACAAATGTTTTAAGGTTTTGGAACAAGTATTCCTTTTTTGGAAAATTCTGGATCGGTCATTTGATTGATTTTATGGGTACTGTTGAAGGAAGATTAAGCTTCATTTCAAGACATGGCTTTCACTCTTGTTTTACTTTTCTATAGACAGATACATATACACAGATATGTGTACATATATATATTTATATATATGATACCACTTTTAAATTCAAATTTAACAAAACTGTTGGGACGAGTCTTTTTTTAAATCACAAAAATTAAAATGAAATGCCAAAATATTTCAGAATCAGAAGCAATTTTATTATTGTTATTATGATTCAAAATCATTACGACATTTTTCTGATACTAGAGTTATGCATGATATAATCAGTATGTATGTATGTATATCAAAATTTATTAAAATTAGAAGATTGGAATTTTAGCATGTTTAATATTATCTCTGTTCATATCATGCAACTTTGACCCTTGACATTCAGAATTTTGACCTCCAAAAAAATAACCTCTTGCAAGCAATAAGTCAAATGCACTCCAGTGCAAAGCCTGTTTGCATGGTCTTTCTTTCAATTTCTTTTGTACTTTTTGTATGTTTGTTTGTTTGTTTGTCTGTATTGTCTGTAATTCCATTTCTTTGTGGGCAAAATTGTATTCTAAACATATTACCTGCTCCAACCCTAAAATATTTGTGTGGTATCTCTTTCAGTGGGTTCAAGTTTGAAAACACATACACAAGAATCATAAAATTAAATAAATATATAAACCTCTCCTATTCTTACACATAAAAGCAACATGGACCCTTTTGTTGATAATAACTCATCTAACATATACTTCTTCAACATCCTCCCCATGCATATGTTTGTGAATTTTTAAAATCTATAAATTAAAACAAGTGTGTATATATATATATATATATATATATACATATATTCTTAATGCTTTACTTCTCCCTCACATTCATTTAGGAATTGTAAAGGATGTTAGAGAATCATGGTTCCTACAATGACTCCTTCCAAGGGTTGTTACAATGACCATGTAGTGTGTTGTAGAGAGCTTGTAGTTCAATACACACCACCTCCATTGTAGACTCAAATGGAATGAGTGGCTACTCTTTTCAATAGCAACAACTAAAAGCCATCCCAAAACTACCCTTCTTTTTGCCATCCCAATAGTATACTCAAACTCCGGAAAACGTACTACCAACAACTTATTCCTTACAATACGGGCCCCACTATTCATGACACGGGGTTACAACAGTTGATTTAGTGTGTACATGTATGTATTCACTTTTTACTTTAAGTAAACATAAATTATGCTCATGGATTTACAATCAAAAACTCACAAGCTACAAACCCAAAATTTGATCAAATTAAGTTTTTTCCTTTAAATTCATATTTGGGTTAGTACCTCTTCTACTACTTTTCCTTGGACTTTGCTCTCTAATCCCATGTTGTGGAGCATACAAACTACTGGAATTTGTATTACAAAGTTCTCTTTCTGTATGTACGTACGTACTTATGTATGTATCTATATATACTCAAATACGCACACATATTTTTTCACAGGAGAACTAGGTTACATACAAAGCTTCATCCAGTACACAAAGCAATTTGCACATCAGAAAATAGAGGCAACTAAGGTAGAAAACAGCTACTAGGGGTGAAAATAAACTGTAATAGTATTGTATAAAAAGTTGAAATTGAAATCGAAAACTATTAAAAAATATCAATGTTTCATAAACCTAATCACCCCAATGCTACTTAAAAGAATGAAAGCACCAACATAGATCCAAAAGGTGAGGAGCTCTGGGTTCTTGTGAAGCTATGGAGGGAGAAGAGAGTAAGGCAAATAGGGTCCCTGGCTGAACCCTAAACCTAGTCTGTATTGAGGCTTCTCTACTTTTTGTCCTTGAGATGCTATGAGTCCAGTACTGCAACTATTACTCTCCTCAATCCCAATGCACCATGGAAGAATTGCATTATAGAGAGGAAGAAAAAAACTTCAAAAATTATATATATTTATGTATGTGTGTGTGTTTGTATATATATATATATAGAGAGAGAGAGTACTTTGAGATTTCTGGTTTGAATCACAAACATACTAGTAGAGTGAGCATACCAATTGATGTTGATGAGTACTAATATTATTGGAGTTGTTGTTGTTGTTGATATTTTGAAAGGAAAAAGGATAAAACAATAAGAAAGAAGAAAATTCTGATTAACACAATGTGTCTAGATTGATGTGTAGAGTAAAACCACAAATACGGAAAGCTTTTTGGGGAATTCTGGTGTTCATCATGGCTATTGTGTTTGCCTGTAGGCACGTCCTTTTAAAAGTGGTCATTATTGAAATTTACAGAATCTTTGTTGAAGTGCTTGTGGAAAGTAAAAATTTTGAGATAATGTATTAAATTATATCAAGAGTTTATGTGGCAAGATTAAATATCCTTCACATTGAAGACTTGCATTGGATATTGGAAAGAGTTTGAAGTAATTAGAAATACACTGTCGTTCTCTTGCAATATATATACATTTATTTATTTATTTGCACATATATTCATTGAAAAATAAAATCATTTCAATTTGTATTTGAGAAAATCAATGATTGACACTCTAAAAGATGTTTGTAATCCGAAAGAGATATTTGTAAAAAGGATATAAATAAAGTCTTTAATGAATAAACAAAATGCACACATTGTTGAAAGATTAAAGGAATAATTCTCTACTTTGTATAAGGAAAGAGAACAAGAAATATAACTGGTAGATTAAGTAAATGCTGTTTATGACTTCTTCTCAGGGATGTAATGAACATTTTTATTAAATCATGTACATTTTGACTTAATAAAATAAATATCAATAGCTTGAATGGTTTCTCCACACACACACACACACACACACACATATATATATATATATATATATATATATAAGCTTTGCATGATGTTTTGCACACAATATGACAAAAGTGAAGATTATGAAACTTGCAAGCCAACTTGCACCTATGGATGCTCTTCTAAAGTGTGGAAGTTTGAAACCTAACTTATGTACTTGAGAAAATTTCAAGCAAATTTTATTAATATGCTAAAATCAATAACAATGTCAGATGTTTTCAATAATTATATCATGGTAATATTTTGATACAATATGAAGAAATATAATACATAACACATCAATATACAGAATGAACATTAACCAGATTTTTACACACACACACCCATGTAATTGTCTTTATGTATTTACATATTATATACATATATATATATATATATATATATATATTTGTGTGTGTGTGTGTACTTCATGAATTATGGAGTGAGCATGTTATGCTTTAAAAGTAAGTATCATGGACTTTAGCAAACCTAAAAGAAAAAGCTTGGCCTTTTTTATCAATCATTCAACACAATTGAGACACATTAGGTATCAGCATGTTCCATGCTGGATGCATACATGCATGGACACATAATTTGCTGTTGAAAACAGTTTTCAACAAATGATACTCACCAAATTACAAACAATGCAAGTTCATTACACACACACACACACACACACACACATATATATATATATATACATACATACATTCCTTTTGTTTAAACAAACCATTCCAAAAGCACTGCCAAATTAGTTGAACCAAACTACTAAAAAAAAGTGTTATGAAATGATGAACCTAAACCCTCCAAAAAATACCCAACTGCTTAAAGTGGCAAGGGAATGGCCACATCACTACCAAGAATCACACATTCTAAGCAGAATCCAAGCAGAATCTGCCTTCTCCCCCCCCCCCCCCTTGGTCCTCATTGAATCAGTCCCCAACAGGAGTGCTGGCCTCCTCCTTACTCCAATTATTTGGCCTCCTCCCCCTCCATGGTAGTAGTAGTAGTGGAATAGAATAAAATAGAAAAAAAATATAATGCATCCCTCACTCTGCCCTAAATGTATGTGGCTATCAAATATCCACAACCCCTTTCTCACGTCCTCCCTCCCTCCCTCCCTTCTGCTATCATTCATTCTCCCGCTTATTATTGTTGTGGTCACCTCCCTTCCCCTTTTGTACTATTCATGTGGGTCCCATTGCAAAACCATGCGATGTATTTACTTGCTTCCCACCCGGCCCGGCCCGGCCCCATCGGCCATGGCACCCAATCATTGGGGGGCGGGGGGTGCCCGGTGTGACGTGGCGGCGCTGCCGCTCAGCCGTCGTTCTCCCCGCGAGTTCTGAGTTGGCATTGCTGACCTGGACCATCCGCGTCACGATGTGCTGTTTTCCTTTGAATTGTATTGTGGTGGATGAAAGGGCCCTCGACTCGGAATTCTGTTTTAACGTAAACGAATTAACATAAAATTTCCTAAGCGAAATTCAATATTTAACCCTTCACACAGATCCTCATAAAAAAAAAAAAAAAAAAAAAAAAAAAACTCTGATATATGTGTACAACTATTAGGAAAAATATGCATAATAAAGTACAAAATGGAAAGGATTAATTGTAAAATTTAAGACAAAGTTCCAAGTGGACTCTTGCACAAGAAATAAAACAAAGGGAGAAGGTCAATTGGACCTGAGTGCCATAAGTATGAAGCCCATGGTTTGAAAAATGACAGTTTGGGGATGTATTGTGTTTTGGTGCTGAAAACCCAAATGAGACAATGAAGGTGTTACACAATCTATGTAGGTACATATATATATGTACATGGCTCATCCATGTCCAAAGGGAAGCTCACCCAATCCACACAATATCATTTCTAACAATCTAGAGCTCTTTCAAGAGTTTTATTTTATTTATTTGGTTAAAGGCATAGACATTTGTATATGTATGCACACACACACACACACACACATATATATATAGAGAGAGAGAATATCATGGTTGACCCATTTTGTTTAGTGCTTCAAATGTTTAACATAATCTGTGCTTGTAAAAGTTGAAAAATTGAATACATTTGAAATCCTATAAAATATATGTTCACAAGGCAAGGCATTAATAACACAAACCCATCAAAGTGAATTGTTTTGCACTGAATAAAACATCAACAAAAAAATGATGTTTCCATCATGTTGTGCAGCTTAACAGTATCAGCATTTAGTACATGTCATATTTTGATTTTGGGTCTTGGTTGTTGTTGTTGTTGTTGTTGTTTTGTTTGTTTGTTTTTTTTTTTTTTTTCCAATCTATGACACATTCTTCAAATAATAATTCCTTTCTTCAGATTTGTTTTTGTACAAACAAATAAATGAATAATTAGTGAGCATGAAGAATTGCCAATTCATCCAAACATACATAAGCTATTTATTTTTTCCTTATTTCAACATGGGTATTTGTTTTCATGTCAGTAGTAGTCATGCAAGTAGTTAGAAATTTAAAAAATGAAAAAGTAATATATGGGTGGTGAAAAAGCTACAAAATCATCACAATAATAGTTATATCTTGTATTTTTTTAAAAAAATGCAATAAATGATGTCTATGAACTTACATTTAAAAGTATTTGAAATTGTGTTCTAGTATTATTTTCAGAATTATGTACAACACAACATGTAGTGAGAAATATTGAAAGCTTTCACTAGTTTTGATAATCCCTTTCTTCTGTTCTTCAAGTTTTGAGACTCTGCAGTCTCAACAGATTTAATCATAGATATATACATGTCTCATGCTCCTCTCAACTGTACATAATTATTGTTTAACATATTCTGATTTATATACATTCAAACCACATTTCCTCATGTGTTTTTTCAACATCAATTTGAGTTTTTGTAACTTAGTTGCTAGGCTCACAATAATCAACTCTCCATTCATGAAAAAAAAAACACACATTCCACCACTTACACATTGATCCTACCAACACAAGTTTACTTAATACAGTTTGTAAACAACACCATAATGTTAAATCCCATAATTTCAACTCAAACCTCAAACAAATTTAGGTATATCCACACACACATATATACAAACAATTTGTATAATTAAAATGCAACATTGGCGCTTAAAAAAAGCCTTGCTTTTGGAATGTGCATGGTCGAGCTTTAGCATGCAAAATATGCTACGCGTCGGTCAAAGCTTATTACTGTAAAAATGGATCTGACAAGACCAGGCAGGGTACAGCTAGGATCTGACCTGGACGGATCCAGTCCACCTGGGACAGTCCTAGATATGGCCATGGAGCACAGTGACGTCGCCCTTGACCCCTCCACTCAGAGTCAAAATGCCAGGTCAACACGCCAGGTCAGCAGTCAAAGAAGAGCTAGTGCTTCTGTTTGTAAGGGAGGAACATCTCAATGAGTATGGATACGGAATCGTGTACTCATTTAGAATCTTCTGGAACTGTGTATGATACACCAGGATGCGTACACGAAAATACTGGATACATGAGGGGCTTGTGAGGTTACTTTGTAAGTACCCAGCTTGCTCCTCACCCCTTGTTCGAGGACGGAGACTGCTTCATGGCATTCTTTTGCTCATGGCAAGTTCCCCATGAGAGACACTAAGGAAGGAATGAAGCAACAGAAGAGTTTGAGTTCCCCTTCTTTCTTTTTTTCTCAATTATTTATTGTAAAGAACAGCATCTTGTGCAAAGAGTATGGGAGTGCCAGTGTGACTAAAGCATATATGAAAAAGTGGTGAGAAAAATCAGTTATCTTTTGGAGAGGGTAAATGTCTTTGGCCCTCCATGTATAATTGTTGTGGGGGGGGGGGGGGAGGCTGGGAATTATTTTCCCACCTTGGTCTATTATCAGCAATGTTTGACACAAAAAAGGACATTTTTTTTTTTTTTTTTTTTTTTTTTTTTAATGTGGACAGCATGAAGAGGGTGATGGGGATATGTATTAAGGAGCTGATAACCTTTTCGCTTGAAAAAAATAATACCTTTGAAAATGACAACAAATGCTCACTGTTTAACCATGTTGAGAGACTTGTATGTATTACATCATGTTGATTATTTCGTTGCCATTTTTGCATTAGATTTTAGTTAAGTCAATTATTTTAAAAAAATGAAAAGCCTTTTGCCCAGATACGCATATCTTCACCAGCATTGGGCTTGATTTATGAACACTCAAATGGTATATTTGTCTCCAGGGAAGGGCTTTGAATTTTGTACTCACCCACCCCAGGTTGGTACAGAAAAAAAGAAAAAAAGAAAAAAAGAAAAAGTTTTCATGCTTCCAGCTGCCACCTCATCATAGTTATTCGCACCAGCTGCTTAGTCACTCCAGCTGACATGGCAATCATAACCCCATCGTGGCATGTCATGAGCATCTTCACTCTCATGGCTTGAGATTTAAGTGGATGGATGAAACCTTTCAAAACGGACGAACAGATGAACGGGGAAAAAGTTATGCTACATAAAAAAGAAAAAATAAAAGGCACATTGCAATTCTTAATCAGATAGGCTTCAGTTGAATGGGCACAACCTTGGATGTGTCCATTCTTTAGCAGGTACGGATCTTGTACTCGCAGCCCTACTCATTATTATCATTTACTTTTATTTTGTTTTACATTTTCATTTGCAAGGAAATTATTGGACGTGCACGTGGGCTTCAATCCAAAATAATAATAATCAAACACACAAACACTTGTCCCGACTTCTTCAATAGATGATCACTGGTCCTTGGACGGCTTCTCGACATTCATCCACCAATCATCCACTAAGTTACAATCTAGTGAAGGGACGCACACAATAGTTGAATAATATGATTTAGTTGAAGCGCATGAAGTTGGGTAGGGTTGAGTTAAGAGCTGACAACAACCACCCACCACCTCCGTTTCGTCATCTCGGTAGCACTTGGGTTCAACTGATTTTTAATAATAGGAGTGAGTGAAATGGGGGGAAGTGTTGGTTGTGAGAGATTCACCCAGTTGCTACTCTTCCCGCTGATGGACTGTCATGGGGCTCTAAGTCGAGGCATTTCATTCACAACCAGTCGATATTAGACCGGAGCGTGCAGCAGTTGCAACCGAATCTTCCTTCTCTGTAGGAGCGCCTCGAGGGGCATGGCTGGCGTAGCCGAAGCCTCCAAAAGCCGGCGTGCCTGTGCCAAATTTAGCGGAGACATTCTTTCACACTGTCGCAACCTCTAGCCCTCATTAGCAGTGCCACACAAGGACCACTCATTTAAGACAACTGTTCAATGGCTGTTTTTCTGGACCATATTTCAAGCCAATGAGTAAATTTACATATTCGGACGCCTTGTTATGTTAAATGTGTGTGTCTCTCTCTCACACACACACTCACACACACACACTCACACACACACACACATGCATATATACTTGTTTTAGTCTTTAGGAAACTACGAGGTTATTAAATTGACATCGGCGATAATGGGCGTGAGGCATGAAAAGAGAATGGGCGGTGTGGAAAGGAATCTTTTTATGTACGAGAATAGAAAATTGTAGATGCTGGAAAAGAACCTCGTTCGCAGTTCTTAACGGAGTTGAGAGGATCCCGTTTAAAGGGGCTAGCCAAATAAAGGGCACAAGCAAGGATTGTGGCATTGAATGTATTGGAGCAACAACTGGGTACCCCATGCCAAATGAATTGGACAAACAATCAATGAGGGTTGTGAGTCTTACACCCACTTATTGCACTGTATGTGTATGTGTGTGTGTGTGTAAAAATCCAAACAATTACAGATAATTTCCAGTTAATCACGAACCAAATAGTGATTACGTGTCTTTTGTTACCGAATTCAGTAAGGATACCACTTTTCTTTTGAACACTTGCAGTTAATCAATAAATATTGTTCAATATATTGAGCAGTGAGTTTGTTATTTTAATAAAATGGTTCAGTTTCATTTTTTGGGATCTTCCTATTCCTTGGGTGACAAAAAAGGAAACCCTAATCCACCATCTTTGGAGCACCTCGGTGAATCAGCTCATTGACATAGTGGGTTTAGACCAAATGTCAAAGAAATCAATTGGATCTTAACTATTGGTCCTTTTTTTCAGGGTAATGTTTTGGCAGCTTCCACCAAACCGCAGTGGAGACTGCTCAGCTTTGTTCAGTGTTGGTGGCCCCAGCTCCCAACTCTTCAGAGCCTGCACTCAATGAAAGTTTCAATACCTTGGGATGTTTCACAAGAACAAGAACAAGATACCTTTAAATTATAAAATTTAGGACCTTTGCTCGAGTGTCAACTCCAAAGTGAAGTTTCTGTAATTTTGTTTATTTGATATAATTTTCATTAAAGTATGCATCCCCCCCCCATCTCAGACTCCCTCATGCCGAATCTAAAGAGGAGCCAAAATTAGCTTGAAAAGCAGGATCACCCACGCAACTTTTCGACTACACGGCAGTAACTTTCGTGGAACACACAACATCTGAGACGTGGGTAAATAGCCAAGAATTACCCCGTGGGGGTAAACTGCAATCGAGGAATTTCAAACCTGTGTACAGCGATGACTAAGGGAGGGAGGGAGGCAGCGATGCTGAGTCTTGGGGGGGAGGAGGCTCCGCCCCGCGAACGGAAGCCGGAAAAGAAATGGGAGGAAGTGGCAGCGGTTACCGCAGGAATGGTGGACGCATTAACGAACTATAAATTGCAGCGCGGTCGCTGAGAATAGACCGGGGATGGGAAATCGTGGTGCGATCGGTAAGGGTGGGAGACGAAGGGGGGTAAAAGAGTCAATGGTTGACGAGAGGGTGAGAGTCCGCGGCGAGCGAGCAATGGATCAATCACAGCAAGAGCATGCGGGGGAGGAAGGAGGAGGAGGAAGAAGGGTGGGTGAGTGAGTGAGTGTGTGAGTGAGCAAGTAAGTGGTCTAACGGTGCACGGATTTATCCGCGTCACGGCTGTTCATGCCAAGTGGTGCAAGACTGTGGGCAGTAGCAGCGCAACCACGCAGAAGAAGAACAGTTAGAGTGGAAATCTATCGAGTTTCCGGTCTTGTCAATGTACTGTAGACTTCAGTCTTCTACCACAACTACTCCCCCCGCGGCGCGGTAACAAATACAATCGTGAAGCACTTGGTTTGAGACAGTTGTTGCAGCCGTGGTGCTCAGTTTCCACGCCTTGCTTCGTCGGAAGCGGGGCTGGGCTTCCACTGAAGCCAACGAGTGGAATAGCCGCCATCTCAGGATCCAGCAGTTTCTGCACACAAGCGCCTTGCCCCTGCACTTTGTTGTGCTTTGTTGCTGCTCTTCTTTCTCCCTCCCTCCCTTCCTTCCTTCCAGGTGCGGTCCTCGTCTGCTTGTCATTTATATTTATCTACACATATATGTAATTTTTCTTTCATCCTCCCTCTGTACTCTTCTGCGCAACGTTGACAGTGGCGGTGTGTCATCTTGGGGGGCGTCAGTCATCTTACCTGGCCGCATCGGGTTCCGTTTCTCCCGATGCCTTCTCAGGTTGGGTGTGCTTTGTGGCGAGGATTGGAATTTGCGCTGGGTGTGTGGCTGGAGGCAGATGGGGATTTCGCCCATGGTTTGGCGTTGTCGTTGTTCGTATTGCGTCGTGCCATGAATTTAACAGTCGTCTTTTTTTCGCAGATCATGTCCTGGGTGAGTTTGTTTTTGTTTTATTTTATTTTATTTTATTTTGTGGTTTCTGGTTCATGGGTCTTGTTGTCTTCGGACGCTCGGTGATGGCTGCGCTGTGCGTCGATTGGATTTAGTGAAGAGGGGTGGTACTGAGTGCAGTAATGCGAAAATGGGGATGTAGAGAGAGAGAGAGAGAGAGAGAGATGTGTGGATTGCGAATGTGGAACCCATCCCGAGGTGGTAGTGTAGGTGGTGGAATGCTCGCGAGTTTTGGTGGAATGGCACCTGCATTGCGCTTGGCATTTGGGCGATGTCACGTGAATGAGTTGCGTCCCGCGGGGGCACGCTTTCAATGCGCCTCCTGGGGTCGCGTTTTGCGTGCGATGTTGGGGAACGCCGGAACCGTTGAACAGAGAATAATTGCAATTGGAATGGAAGTGAGCGCTTTGACGTCGGTGGATGTGTGAATTGATCTCAAAATGCGTCTGCCCGCCCTCCTTTAACCTTGCTGTCGATGTATGAGTGCCGCAAGAACCGCCCTTCCGTTGCTTCCCCTTTTTACTATATTTGTCTTAATTGTCTACCTTTTTCAGCGTCCGTTTCACTGAAATGTCGGATCATAGATTGCGGGACCAATCACGGGGCACAACGTGTTCGCCGCTCTCGATCTGCTCTTCACGCGATGAATCCCAACTCACAGTGACGCTTGTTTTTTTTTCCGAGAATCACATATTCTCTTGGAAGTATTGAGCTCTTTAGAAACTGCCAGCTGCTCGTTTCTTCAGAATGCGTCGCCGTTTGTGTCGTTGCGTTGAAATGTCGAACACGAGTTCTGTAGAGAGCGATCGCTGAGCTATGTTGGCCTTTTTGTAGATTACGAACAGGTCTGTAGCCTTTGTCTGGTCTTCCTTTCCGTCCCTCAAGTCTCTTGTGTTGCTTCGTCACGTGGCCCACTGTGAAACTCTGCAGTCATCGCTGGCGTCTTGATTGGCCTCATTCTAGCTTTCGCTCTCTTCTTTGTCAGCTTCGGTATCACTGAATGATGATGTGGTGTTAGCCTTCGAATCCCTGGTTCATCTTTCGCCTCTTTGTAGATCTTATACGTGGAATATTTCCGTGCGGAATAGTTGAATGCTTAGTTTACCTGTAAATTGTCTCTTTCAATCCCATTTCTCTTTCACGACTTGTTTGCTACAGCCCCTCTCCTTCTTTGTTACTCTTTCCTGAGGAGCAGTTGCAATCATTCGCACATAAGTACATATTCTGGGTTTCGACTGACACCCGTTGGACTTTGTGTCTGTCAGATCCTGTGCATTGACTGAGAAACGTTGCATCGAGCCCTCTGAATTGCACCTTACTAGGCCAAGTGTAATTTATGGGGAGATTCACGGACGGCAGGAGCAATTGAAGAAGTTTTTAGACAAGACTCTCTGCAGTGGACTATTGTTTTTGTCATTAGCTGCGGCAGAACTTGAGATAGGTTGTAGAAGATATCACGGTCGCTGCTGTAACTGATGGTGTATCAAGTATTCATTTATGCGATGTGTTTCCGAGCATGAGCAGCAAAGGGGATTTCTTTGGGAGGTAACCGTTGTGTTCATTTCACAACAGAAAGAAAAGGCAAATTGGGTCAACGAGGGATTGAGAAGAGATCGCCGAGATTGATTGTAAGAGAGGGCTAGCTGGCACCCCCGATAGAGGGAATTGAACCGCCTCAGAGAGAATATTATATCAATGTTGAACATTTAAATGCACGAGTTGCAGTCTCTGGGGAATCGAGAGGAATGGCCCCGTGGGGTCAGAACATGAGCTCCGAACCTCGCGATGTAACGCATGTGCTATTAAGCCCTAGGATGGGAGGTGGTACAAAATCTCCCTTGAACCGCAAAATGCCCAACTTTAAGAACAGTGGTGACTTGGAGCCATGCGCTCTCTTTGACACGCTGTTCAAAAACGAAGCTTACTCGGCTGAGGACGCAGGAGAGGGAGGAAATGGCGACTTTCACAAGCTTGCTAGCAGCAAATCTCTACGTGTAGACAATACGTCCAAGTTCTGTGTCGACCTTTTCAAAGCTGTCTTACATTTAGCAGCACTTATTATAGGACTATTTCGGCAGTTGAGCTCGCATAAGAAGAAAGGCACCAAATTCTCTGTCTTCTACATTTTCGCTTCTCTCATTTTCATGTTCTTGCTGGTTAAGATTTCCTCATTGGGATGGCTTGCCTTGCAAACACATTCCGGCTCCTCCTCAAAGGTACCCTTACCCATTTTTATCTTTTGGCTTATGCAATTATAACATCTGAATGCTCTTGCATTTAGTGCTTTGGATTCTGATTTGATTGATCGTACTCTCATTCCTCGAAAGCTGACAGAAATTTTGTGTTCAGCAGGTCCCAGATGATACAAAGTTGATTCTCCAAGCTGTGAAAGTTGAATCCAGTGAGGCCCGAAGTGAGAATACATCGCCAGTATATAGAGACCCTTCGTCTCTATCGTTGGCGTCCCAAGTCCATGTTGGGTCGAGTAAAGATGCGGGAGGTGTTTTGGATAGTCACCTATGGGCCAAGCCCAAAAGTGACTCCTACCATCAGTGCATTGACCGCCCGGAGGGGTATAAACGTAAGTCCATGTAAAGGATTGACACCGTTTCTGAAGTTTTGTATCTTTGGATTGGCTTTTGTTGGGAAGGAGCGTCGTTGATGTTGATGTTGATGTGTTTCATGTTACGTATTGCTCATACCGAGAGTAACGTGCTTGTTGCATCACACAGGGCCAGATAATAAGACAAACGGATATCTGTTGGTCAATGCTAATGGCGGTCTCAATCAAATGCGCGGAGGGGTACGTGGTTTGTGATGACTGATTACTTGTCGTGAAAGAAAGTTGATGCTGACATTATATACGATCATACCATTGTCATTTTACTTTCTAATCTGGTGAAAAGTCCATAGGCGGTATCTTTCTTCATGAAACGGTGCTCTGTAAGTGAGGATATCAACTCTGGATCCAACTGATAACACGTATTCAGCTAATCATGGTGTCAGAATATTTTTGATGATTCTTCTTTTGCAGATATGTGATATGGTGGCGATTGCCCGGCTGATGGATGCGACTCTGGTGGTGCCTGTTCTCGATCACAGCTCCTTTTGGGCTGATCCTAGGTGTGCACCCACTCTAACCTTCCACTGCTATTCGTTTGTCGGGGCTTCAAAAACCAATCCCCCTTGTCTGAGTTCACCATTGCAGCTTCAGACATTCATGTGTTTTTGCCTTCGTGTTTTAAAGGGAAATTAGGTGTGTCAACTAACTGAACATTTCATATGGGGCAGTGAATTTAAAGACATATTTGATGTCAAGCATTTTATCAACTCACTCCAGGAAGACGTTCACATTCTAGAGGCCCTGCCAGCCTCTGTGGCCGACATTGAGCCTATGCTAAAAGCTCCCGTCTCTTGGTCCAAGGTGGGGCGCCTGCAACTCTTGTTGTTCTCCCATTATTCCCAACCATGTGTGAATAATGTACTGTTTTAATCTACTTTTACGGATAATTGGTCGCTGAGCTTAATTGAATTGCAACCAGTCCCACAGTCCAGAGGACCTGACATTTCCTGCAGGCACCATACTACAAGGACGAGATGGTGTCTCTTCTGAAGCGGCACAAAGTGCTGTCCTTCACTCACGCCGACTCGCGGTTGGCAAACAACGACTTGCCTGACGAGACGCAACGACTTCGTTGCCGGTCCAACTACGTTGCCCTCAAGTATGCTGAGCCCATCCACAGATTGGCCCAAACGTTGATCAAGCGATTACAAAATGACGGCCCTTACATTGCTCTCCACCTTCGGTAATCTTTCACTCTATCAACCTTCGCTTTGATGGATGCAACTTGCAGTCCTTGAACCAAATTGGCATGTGCACACAGATCTCGCGTGATGAAGAGATTTGATTCTGTTCTCCGCAGATACGAGAAGGACATGTTGGCATTTACGGGCTGTGCACATGGATTGTCGGCTGAAGAGGGCGAAGAGCTTCGGCAGATGAGGTACTCCGTCCCGCACTGGAAGGAGAAGGACATCGACAGTGAGCTCAAGCGGATGGAGGGGGGTTGCCCGCTAACCCCACACGAGACCGGGCTCCTGCTCAAGGCGCTTGGGTACCCTTCCACCACCAAGATATATATAGTAGCGGGGGAGATTTACGGGAACGGAACGATGGATGCTCTGAAGAAAATATTTCCCAACGTGTATGACCACATGACGCTTGCCACTGAAGCGGAGCTGGCGCCTCTCAAAAACTTCCAGAATCGCTTGGCGGCGTTGGATTACATTCTAGCGCTGGAGAGTGATGTGTTCGTCTACACCTACGATGGGAACATGGCCAAGGCTGTGCAAGGGCATCGTCAGTTTGAGGGCTACCAGAGGACAATTATCCCCAATAGGTCTCTCTTTCTTTCTTTCTTTCTTTCTTTCTTTCTCTCTCTGTGTGTGTACATGGACCCAGATGCTGAATATTTTTGTATCTGGTTTGCGAGGTATTGCAGGGAAAGTCTAGTGAAGCTGGTGGACGAATACGAGAACAAAACCATCTCCTGGGAAACCTTCCAAGAGAGCGTTGCCAATATCCACGCGGACCGAAACGGGGCGCCGCACTACCGGGAACCTGGTGAATCTCCCAAACTGGAAGAGAATTTCTACGCCAACCCTTTCCCTGGTTGCATCTGCCAGCGAGAGAATCACACCAGTGACAACAACAACAACAAGCATGAGTCCAATCGTCGGCTGCTGGGACACTCTTAACACCCACATTCCCTGCCAGCTACTCACCCGCCCACTCAAGCCTCTCACTTGTGTAATTTATAACCAAGTTCGTATGGGCAACGTCCTCTCTGGGCATCAACTTGCTCACGTTGAGATCGAAGAAAGCCAGGTTTTGTAGCAGCAGCTTGATGATCACCAGGTGATCGGTGCTCACCTGCTGTTACTGATTCTTCCTACCCTCACCCAATTATTTTTGTAGCATGTTGAGAGAATAAGAAACGCAACCGTCGATCTCAATTGCTGTTAGGTACATTATAGTATATGTCGCAGCTGTACTCTTGCCCTACAGATATCCTTCACCTGCCGATCATAACCTGGAGATTAACCTGCTTCTTCATTTCTTTTCTTTACTTTTCCACGTAGCAAACTGAGATATTTTTAGTAACCTGTGCACATTCGAAATCCTTTGGGGGATCTAACCCTCTGGTGGAATTTGCGTAGCAGCGTTCAACTGTGAGGGTGGACTGTTCCTCATAACCCAGGAGCCCTGCGCGTGTGTATTATTGGACAAGTCTATGGGCCACCGTTTCCCCTCCTATTCCTCAATTCTCTTGCGTAATCTGTATATGTTAATAAAGAGTCTTGAACACATTGACATTCTTGCCATTGTTGTCATTCCTGTTGCTCACAAACTCCTTTCTCTTCATTGGAAACTATACCCAGTTTGGTTGTTACCCATACTCGGGATTCATTCCATTGCCTCTGTAGTTTGAAGCCATTTCAGAAGCTTAGCTTAGTTGTTTGAGTGATGTGAAGGCAACGGTCACGACAATTTGATGTGATAACAGCGAGGTCGTGGACGCTTTAGTATGATTTCATTGACAATAATTTAATAGTTGAATGTTATCGAAGTACAATGTTCAAAGAAAGTAGTAATTTTCTTCTATAACGCATTAAGTTATGGTGCCACTGTTGATCCTTGAATTATGAATCTTTTGGTGTTGATGATATCAAGGATTCCTTTTGGTAGCTAAGTCTTACAAATAAATTTTCCAATTAAGAAATGAGATAGTGTTTTTGCTATCTTGAAAATATACACACCAGGTGTAAGTTGTATTTTAGATCTTTTAATGTTGGAAGAAACATAAAAGAAGTGTAGAGAAAAAAAGAGTTGGTGAATGTGCTATCTGAAATCTCAAAAGTAGACTACATATGCATTCTTTAAAGAATGTAACAAGTATGTGAATAAAAAATGTAATTGTTTATTTTAAAAGAAAAACACATTATGAAAACTCAGATGTGCATTTTTATATATTTATGTTTTCTTGTGTTTCAAAACATTGTAAATATTAAGAAATGGTTTTGGTAATAATAGTTTTTATACTAAACATTAGCTCATGTTTGGAGCATACAAGATATAATACTTAATATCAATGAACATACTCTTTTAAAAATATGTGTATTTTATTTTCGTTAAATTATTTCAATAAACTATAATAACATGTTTTTTTAATAATATACTTTAATAGCATATTTAATTCGGATGCTGAATAATTATACATTTTATTTCATTTTTATTTTTATTATCATTTTTTGTATATTTAGAATGTCTTAAAAAAATACCTTAATTATTAGTGAGCTTCATATTAAAAATATTCAAAGTTTTGGCAAGGTCAAAATAGCAATATAATAATAATATAGCCAATTTGGTAGGATGTTTAATTTGAAGTAAACAATATTATAGCTTTAGCAATTAGGTTGCAATTTGTATGTGCCTTAATTACATATCATACCAATATATTGATTATACAAAAGGAATCAATTTAATGATTAGGTAATAAGTAATTAAAATTTGCATTTTAATTGGAATTAAAGACAATATATACGTATTGTCATAACACAACAATATCTTTAATATACACTATCTTTAGTATTCTTATTTATATTCAAATATTAGATTATAAATATAATTTTTATCTAATTTTAATGTTTGATATTTTTACAAATAATATTAATACAACATACAATATTCCACACCAAAAAAATACCAACTTACATAACATATTATATAATAAGATGATGAAATTATGGTCTATTTATTTAAATATAAACTATACAAAAAAACTCCTATAATATACCTTCTAATATCATAAAATAACACATATCTAAATATAAGTCAAAATTATAATCTAAAATTTCTACGCCAATTTTTTTTATCTTATTAAAAATTATGCAAAACCATTTGAATTTGGATTGTCATTAATATAAATAATAACATCAATAATGCCATTTGATCTTTTGTCACCAACATACATATTTACATAGTAATAATCTAGATTAGAGGAGTTAGGTAGAAGAAATGAAAATAAGTGAGTTTGATAATAACTTTTAAAAAAGCTTCTTAGAAGCTTTATAGACATGGATTTGACTTTCCAAGTGTTTGTAGGTGATTGGTAAATTGAATATAGCTTCCTATTTAGATAATAAATATAGAGGCAAGAATGAGGCCTACCTCATTTTTATCAATGCTTTTCTTATGTTCTTGTTTTAATATAAGATTTTTTGATTTCGTTATATTTGAAAATAACCATTCTAGTTTTTATCTTATATCTATCTTTAATTTGTCTACTTTCTCTCTATAAATATTATAAGAGAGATTATTTATTTATTTATTTATTTTTAGAGTTTTGTTGTGATTTATATCTTCAACAATTGGACAAGAGAAATAATTTGTTGTACCTTTTTTTTTTTTTTTTTTTTTTTTTTTTTTTTTTTTTAAAGATTTCATTTATTTTGAAATAATTTTTATTAAATATTTATATTTTAATTATTAATTCTACAAAGAAAATAAACTAAAAATGTGAAGAAGTTAAAAAATATAAAAATGGTGTTAGATTAAAAACAAAAATAGGAACAAAACAATATTTTTAAGGAGTTGATAAAGCTATACCTTAATGTTATTAAAGCCACCCTCCTTTACCATTTCATCATTGATTCCATCCATCTTCCATCTCCATCTCTTGTTCTTAGTCCCTTGTCCTCATTCCTCAATTCTCCATTCCCTAGTCCTCTATTCTCTAATCCTTTGTTCTTTAGTTTCCATTTACCTAATCCCCATTTCTAGCCCTAACACTAGTATTACATAAACATATAACTTCTAAAATGGTTTATTAGAGATTGGTTGTATATTTTTAGAACATAAAAAGTATAAATAGGAAAGATATATATAAATATAACTCAAAGAGATTAACAATTTATTTTATTTTTTTATTTTACTTTTATAAATGTTAGATATATATTCTATCATAAAAAAATCAAGTTGATGCAAATAATTTCATGAAAATATTACACATATACATGAGATTAAAAATTGTACATATATTTTTTAATATAAAAATCTTACTTACAACAAATGTATAATCAAATCAATGACATGGAACCAAAATGAAATAACATAAATCCATTGCAAGAAATAGAATTATACACACTAATATTAATGCATTGTGTGTGTGTGTATATATATATATATATATATATATATATATGTATGATAAATTAGACTTTTATTTAATATTTCAAAAATTTATAGTTATTTTTTTTGAAAATTAAAATTTTAAATTTATAGAGATTAAGAAAGATCATCCTAGACATTTATTTGTTCACAAGGATGTACAATTCATATTAGTTTTATTTAAAATGTAATTAAAATAAAAATAAAATTTACAAGGGATAAAAGCTAAGATCATTTTTAGATCTTTTATTTTTTCTTCTTTTCAAGACAAGTAGAACTTGCAAGATAAAAAAAACTTCACTTAAATTAAAGTAAGAGTTGAAAAGATTTATAATAGATTTTTTTTTGGCTTCTCTACATTTTTACTCGCAAGTTTAAAAAATATGATAAATTATTTTATGAGACTCATAAACAATGATTTTTTAATTCTGAACTTATTTAAAATTTAAATTAGATAAAATAAAAATGATTTAAAAAATAATACAAAAAATTATACAAGTGATCACAATTAAATATTTGTGAATTTCTTCTTCTTCTACATTCTAATGTATGGTAGCTTTTTATTACTATTTTAATGATTTTTGCACCAAATTTTATCTTAATTAGATATAAACAAAGTATAAATGCTGGGAAAGACAAGAGATTAGAAAGCGAGAAAAGAAAAAGGTCCAATAAGTAGAACGTCTGAATAAAGGAAAACCCAGGCAAAGAAACCGCAAGATAAAGATATACATATAAAGATACACGATTATAAAGAAAAAGAAAAAGAAAATAAAGACGTGAGGGTAAAGAAAAGGAGAGTGGTCGAGGAAGTGCCTCTTATCCGATGAAAAGAGGCTGGAATCTAGTGAATCCGCGACGAAGGGAGTGCATTTCTCCGCGCAATTTCCCTTCACCCAGATCGGATCACACCCGCACTGCACTCTAGATGCGTCGCCCATCTTCCATTTCCACTCAGGAATCAGCACACCCAATTTTGTATATTGCACGTTGTATATTGCGCTTGTTGGATTTTGGTGGGTTTGCGAGTTTTGTGGTAGAGATTGCGGGGTTTTGGGTTCCACGTATGCGATGGGCAGTTGCAGGTTGGATTGTCAATAAGGCAAGAATCACAGAGTCCGAAGTGGAATTGGGTTTTCGTGATTGAAGAAGAATAGGTTGTAGTTAATGCATGCGAGGCTTGAGCTATGGCGCAGCCCGCTTGCAGCCTTCAGCATCCTTTGGGTCGCAGACTCGCGCTCCACTGCTCACAGGTGGGTGTTCTGTTGTCCAGCAGGATGCTCTTCTTCTTCTTCTTCTTCCTCTGAGTTCCTCTGTCGCTGATTTTTTTATATGAAAGGTTCTGGAGATTGTTAGAGGTTTAAAGTTCATGAATCATGAATCTGCATTGCTTGAATTTTGTCAAGAGGAGTCAGTTGGTGGGATTGGGATGGCTGCAACAGTCTGTTTCAATTTGATTAGACCTCTGCTCATCAAGTTTTCGTTACTGATCCTCGTGCTGGACTTCACCTAAATGGATCCCTATCTGGACACCGTAATTCAATACTTCCTTTCAAGTTGTTCTGATATTCCGTACTTTGTGAGGGAGCAACCGCGAAGCAATTGGAGATAGTGCAAATTGGCACTATGCCTCTTGTTGGGATTGCTAGGAGTCTGCAATTGATGCATTCGCAGTATTACTTGCAATTTCGTTTGAGCCTCTTTGTCAGGAATTACGTGGGAGTGAATGCTTGTGTGGATTCCCCTCCCACATACTTTTAACGTGCATTAAATTTCATTGTCTGCATTGTCTAGGTGGATGCTGGAAAGGCGTTGAGGTTTGACAGTAGAGTCGGAGACAGAACTTCAGGGCTCGTGGCATTGCGAAGACGATGTCGTTGGGGGCCTCAGCGGAGTCGCTTTCTGAGGGTGATGGCCATGGGTAGAAAGAAGGAGGTAGGTAAAGGTGGTGAGAATGAAAGACTGGAACTGAAATTGGAAACAACAGATTTGATGGAGCTTGAGTTCGGCAAACTGCTCGGGGAACCTCGCCAAGCCACTTTGGCTAAGGTCTTTTTCTCATCTCAGGAACTCTGCATATGATGTTTTGGATATTTGTGCATGACTCTATTGTCCAGTATGTCTGTAAAATTTCGTGTCATGAATAGGAATCTTCTGAACAGAGTTTGCGAATGTGCTGCCTTATCGTTGATACCGGATATTGACATGAAGATTCTAGTAGATCAGGATTTGGAACGTTGGAAGTGATGACAAGCCTTGTAGCTCTGACTGTAGGTCGTTGGACGAAAATTAAACCCAGATGTATCCTACGTTGAAATCGAGAGGAAATCCTTGAAGAAAATCCAGAGCTCTCCACCAGAGATTTCTGAAGCTGAATTCAGTCGATTGTTAGACCAGGAAGGCAGGGTACCACTTAGGAGTGTTAGGAAGCCGGTTGTTGAGAGTACCGAGGATCTCCCAGGCCTGGTAAAGCCACCCTCGCGGCCAGGACGACCCAGCTTTTCCGAAGCCGAATTCAGCCGCTTATTGAACCAGGAAGGCAGGCCAAGTGTCCGGGGTCGGGCTTCAGAGACCAGTGAAGATCTTGTAGGCCTTGCCAAGCCGCCCTCCCGGCCGGGGCAACCGCTGCCTCAGGTTCGTCTCCTCTTTAACACAGTTTTGGTTTCCCGTATTAATATAAATGTATGAATGTATCAACGTGTTGATGAAGGCATTGTAGAATCGAACCATCGGATCACTCGACATTTTGTACATAGAATATGTTATTCACAAAATCGATTATGATATCTGACAACATTTAAGTCATTGCGCTTTTAGTTATGTTGATCATGCACTCGTATAGTTCTGCCTAAGCATAAATATCATGAACATCCTCAATGTCCAGTTTTATTTTTAAAAAGATTATTTTTATCACTTTTATACCTTTTTTGAGATCATAATAGCCGCATGTGACGCTTGGCTCAGGTTTCACGAAGAGCATCCTCTGATAACGCTGCCAAGTCAAGCTCGGCAGCCCAGAGAAAGAAAGCGGTACCTCTAGTAACTTTTGGACCTGGTGGATTTGCAGCTCAAACAAAGAAGCCACGAGCTGAGGAAGATGACTACAGGAGCCTTGTGCAAAAACCGGCAATACCTTCTCCAGATTCAATCACGCCTTCTTGGCCTAAGAATGACAGTGTTCCGCCTATGTTGCTAGGTAAATCGACGAAGGATGTAATAGATGCTGATTACATGAATCTTGTCCAAAAGCCGGCAATGCGGCCGGTGGTGCCTGAATCTTCAGGTGCTGTAGCTAGTGATGTGGAATCCAGTACCAAAGAAGTTTCGAAGGCGCCCCCTCTAATGAACAAACCATTACTAGCAAAACCTAGTACAAAAGTGTCGGTCAGCACAGGACCTCTTGTCGTGGATATTATCTCCTCAGATGTTTCTGAAGAACGGTTCAACAAGCTTCTAGAGATGGCGGGTTCAACTGAAGAAGATGAGGTGACATCTTTCTTATCAACCTGTCACAATTTCTGCTGAGCGGCAAGGGAATTTGCGATTTATGTTTTAAAATTTCTTCGGGTTTTAGTCGTTGTGGTCTTATCTCAGTCAATTTATTTTATGATGTCATGCCCTTCAAGTGCCTGCGTCTCAACCTCCCGGAAACTGGATCTTCTTTTACTGAGGTCTTAATGGACTATTCGTCTTGATTGCTCCTTGTTCGATCTTACCGGAAAAATCATGTGAGGAACTCGGCTATGTTTTTGCTTAGCTGTGTTGGGGAGGATCTTGCTATGCTAAAGCTAATATTAAATCACGTTTGTATTGGGGATGAGCAGGGTGTGCCTTCTGAGACCCCGACTTCATCAGCCTCTACGGTCGTGGAAAAACCTACTAAAAGAAAAGAGTTACCCAAACTCGGTTCAAAGCCTGTGCTGGCAGCTAAACCGCCTCCTAGAATTGATGAAATTAGAGATGCTGCACGCGGAGCTGACTTACCAAGCGTTTCACCAATGTCATCCGATGATGTTCCGAGCACATCACTTGACTCTGCAGCTGCAGACTTGGAGATAACTAGGTCGGAGGAGAACGCAGAGCCAGTAGTATCTCCTTCCGGTATGTTCATCTTGCTTATGAGACATGTTCTTAGGAAGTGTTAAGTTCTGTAGATTTCGGTTTTCCTTTTTGAAGTAAACTACAATCCTGACTGGGGTCTATTGATGCTTTCTAATCTTGATTCCTAAATGTCCACAGATGCTGTGTCAGACGTTGAATTGAAATCAGCCGAGGAAAAATCAACAGTTGTCGCTAAGTCTGATAATGCAGACTCTGATGGGAAGGAGTCAATTTCTAAGCTTGTGAAGAAAGCAAGTCCTGTTGCTCCTGTCCGACCGCCGAAACGGATTGTCAAGACTACCTCCGATTTTGTTAAAGAGAAAATTGGTGATGCTGAAGATAATAGGCTGGGTAAGTTGTCAGGTGAAGTTAAGGCTGCTGCTAAGCAAAGTGAAGCTGCTCTTCCAGATTCTGGTTCACGAGGGCCCTCTGTGATGGAGGTTGACCAGTTGGACCAACGGAAAAGAGCTGAGTAAGTTAACTATTTTCTTATTACCACTTGCGAATATGTGGCAACCGATAAATTTCAAACAGTTTCACTTAACATTCTATTTCTCTCACACCCTTACGTTTGCAAGCAGCTATTGTGGTCTGATTCAGCAGTCTGACATTTTGGTGCAGTTTGTTGTGCATTGCAAGTCATAGAACTCATGAAGGATGTATATTGTAAGCATGATTTAGATGTTTCATTTGAGTTGGCTGTTCTAATTCGATGAGATTTTTGTTGTTGTATATCACTCTTTCGATGAGGATCCTCTTTCTTGATGTCAAACGACTTCTAAGTGGTTAATAATTCTGTGACTATTGTTCTTGTAGAATGCGACAGCGGCCTCTCTTACGTCCTGCTCCACCGCCTGTTCCACCCTCAATTGTTAACATCTCACCAGATTCTACTGAAAGTAGCACACAGAAACGTATTCTCTCCCGCCCAGCGATACCGAATCCAAAGCCTCCTCAACCTTATGGTGCATCTTCTCAGGACTTAGCAGCGGAATCTTTTCAACAATCTGGCACAAGCCTCCCTGATAAAAGAATACCATCTAAGGTAATATGTGTGAAAGCTTCACAAAGTAGATATCAACGATTTCTCAGATAATTAAAGCTCAAATTGTTGTGGAAAAGTGTGACTGTATTTAAAACACTTAGGAGATCAATAGTGTTTACGGCTACGTAAATCCCCACATTCTTGCAGAGTGTCCAGCATTTGCTACTTCTGGCTACTGTAACTTATTGGGCACACTGGCGTTGTGTTTAGTTTAATTCTATCGTATGTGCTATACAATTTGAAATAGTGTTGAAGCTCATCAGTTTAGCCAACGTTGTTGAATTAACAGGAAGAGGAGGATAAAGATTGGGCTCGCGCAGAAGCGTTACGGGAGTCCAGGGCAGTGGAGGAAGTCGTGTTCACGAAGGCCCTTCCAAATGGCATGCTGGTATAATACCACCTCAAGTTTCTATTTTCATGCGTAAAGAACATTCGCTATAATGAATTTAGTCTCACTTGCATTTCAATGATGAAATAATTGCATTTCAACTACTTCATGCTACAACCACAACGTAGTGAACATGGAAGACTACCTTTTCTGAATTTGTTTATCAGGAACAAATATCTGCATTAAACTGTTGGGTTACCTGAACCCATTTTATGGCCATATTCTCCAGTACAATAAGCTGATTCCTCACATCAACCATGGTGTGCCCATCACTATCATGACTTGGTAAAGGACGAGGTTAAACGAATTTATCTGTTTTTCTTGTGCTTTCAATTTGTGCTGTGTTTCTTTTTACTCCACTAAGCCACTACAGTTTAAAACGGGTTTGGAGACTAGTCTATGCGGACGTCTCTTATTTATGGTTGTGCTGCACAGGTAAATTTTGGATCTCTTGCAGGTTTTGTGGTTGCTTATGAGCTATCCAGTCGAAGAAGGCCACCTTCATTTGCAACTTGGGCACAGGATAACGGTCATGCAATGAGTAGGAAATTGAATTCATCGGCTGCATCTGAGAATCATCCGAAAAATGACTCTGAAGACTCCATGGAAACAAGAACAAATGGTGACGATGTGGAGCACAAGAATTTGCTGAAGCAATATGAGGAGGCGCGAGCTAACCTTCTGGCAGCCCTTGTTGGAGAGGTCGTTGTCTTTAATATGCTAATATTAGTCATATTGGGGTTGCCACCTTCCTGAAGGCCTCGAAATGCTGTCTTTCTGAAACTCACTCAAATTGTATGTGCAGACTGCAAAGGTAGTGGTTGTCGCAGTCGATCGTGAACGTAAGCAGTTGCGGTTCTCAGAAAAAGAGGCAGAAGGTGAAGGTCGGGAGCTTGCCCAAAAGAAGGCGCAGCTCATGGTCAGTTCTCACCGTGCACCTTCTGTGTGTTTTGAAACATGCTTTTCAATTAATGTGACCATAATACATAAGAGTTGTTTCTCATGTGAAAGTGCTTATGTATAAGAATCGAGCAGTAGCTGATTGTTTTTGCTAACAAGTAAGCCTTGGTCGTGTTGTTACGAAATTCCTACACTTATAAGGATTGCTTTCATTTTCATCTACGTGGATAGTGTCCAACACGTGAAGCCGCCTGTGTGATTGTAGTCAAGTCTAGTAAATCTGTGTTATGTTAAAATTGAAAAACATTTTTGAGCTTAATTTTCGCGTTGCAAATCTATCCTTCTTGTGTATCGCTTGGGTATCGTTCCCTTGCGTTTCGGGTCTCATAGACGTGAGGACTTCGAAGAACAGCCCTGAGATGAGATCCTTGCTGACAGTTGGCTCTGTCCTTGCAGACAAGTTTGAATGTTGGAGATGTTGTGAAGTGCACTGTGAAGAAAGTCACTAATTTTGGGGCATTTGTCGAGGTGAATAAACATCTCTCTGTTCTACTCCGCATCATCATTCGACCTGAAGCATCGGGCCACCAATATATTTGGTCAATGTCTGGGAAGCATTGGAAGGACCCGCTCATGTGGATTTGTTGGAAATTGTGTTCTAGTAGCGAAAAATACTTCTACCGTATAAGTTTGAGAAAAGCCCATCTTTGATTCATTCTAAGTTTGCACTGTTTGTATCATAAATAGTTACAAGGGGTTCCAGCACTCATTCATATCTCAGAGCTGTCCTGGAATCGAGTCACGGATCCGTCGACAATATTAAATCATGGGGATGAGGTAGAGGTCAAGGTTTGCAGGCTTGACCGGTACCTTCAGCGGATCAACCTTTCTCTGAAGCAAATGCAGGTAAGGCTGCTGCTTCTTAGTCCTGACATTGATCAAATCCAAGTTTCATATCTTAGGAGTGTACCTTCCTCCTTCGACTAATTTCTATTTTGAGGACTGATCAAAGTATGACTTGTATATGCGTGGCAGCCGGATCCGTTGCGTGAGACACTTGAGTCTCTTGTATCCAGTGACTTACGAGAGACCGCAACTACTGCTCGGGCTTCAAATGAGGATGAGGCACGTGCAACTCTACAATATTTCTAGTTTGTTTTTCTTGCGTTTTCAGATTGATGCTTTCTATGCTGGTCAAACTGTGTGATATAGTAGTTTTTACATGTTTTCCGCTTGATGGCTGATTGATTTTTGCGGGTTGTAGACAACTGGAATGCCAGAGCTCGTCGGAGTGACGAAAAGGCTAAAAGAGTACAAGGGCATTGACAGTGTCCAACTAGGACGTCGAATTCAAGGAACTGCGCTGGCTCCTACATTCCAAGTATATTTGTCTGTTCAGCTTGATGATGGTTTCAAACTTCTTGCCAGATCTGGGAACCAGGTTCAAGAGGTCAGTGACCTTTGCTTTCATCTCAAAAGATTCCTTTAAGATTCTTTTACAAGCATTGTTAAAGGGGTGACAGCGAAATAGGCAGTGTGATGGCTTATTCACTGCGTGGCAGGGAATATACGGTATGAAGAATGTGTAAGTAATGTGTTGATCGCTCTTTGTCCACACACCGCTGTTCTTAACAATCCATTCTGGTAAGGTACTCAGGTTATTGGTTCTTTGTTAATATCAGGTGTTGGTGCAAACGTCACTTAGCCGAGAAAGCATGAAGAACGCAATCCGGGCTTGCACTTTCACTGATGACTAATCGAACTTCGCTACATCTGCCCGAGTTTTGTCATATCACAACTTCCGCAATTTGTTGGTTCTTCCAGCACTGTAGTTGAGGATTCCTGAATTCATTTACAACCCTTTGGGATGATTACCATTTGGAGCCCGTCGGTGTAGGTTGCAAGAAAAGTGTGTGAAGTTCAAGCTGAACATTCTCACACTCTCGGCTTCTTAAATTTACCGTAGCTGAAACAACATTGTTCGAATGTAGAGTAGTCCGCCAGATTAGATAGGACGATGCGGGTGAATTTCAAGTTTTCTTGTACTACATAGCAAAATGACACAACTTGCCACCACCAAAATTTTCGCGCTCAAGTTTATGCATGCGTTTTTTCTGTGCAATGCTCAGTCGAGCAAGTACACAGATACACATCTTTTCAATTTTCCATTGCTTTGTGATCCTTACATATTTTCACTCAGTCGATAATTTCTTTTGTTGATGACAGTAGGGGTCAGATTTCCTGTTCAAACAACTCACAATACTTTTTTTCGTGAATGTGTCACATGTCTCATAATTGAATTATGTTTTTTCTGTTGGTTTCTATATTAATGCTCTCCAAAACTACTTGTACATCCATTTGAATAGAGGTGGCAGAGTGGAAGGACAGGAAAGAGACTGGCTTCTAAAAATTCTACAAAACAGGAAAAAGCCCCATGTTTGGTGTATATGTATAATGATTAATGCTTAGATTATAAATAAGCAAGCACAAAACAAAACAACTTATATACTACTAACACTCTTTTTAGGTGGATGTGAGAGTAGCACACTCTCAAATTATTTAATACTATTCTATGTTAGTTTTCTATACTTTTGTATATAAATATATTGCTTTGTGGTTCTCAAGTTTCAACTTATAGTCATATTGAATCTAAAACCAATTATATTTATTGATATTCACATTTTATCTCCCCTTTTAAAGAGGGTTAACCACTTACAAGATAATACACTCATGTGTTGCTCAAGAAGAATAAAAGTAAGCAAAAAAGAAATGTATATACGATAGAAAAGAATTAGAGTGGTTATTGCCAAATACAAAAGAATAAAAGAGATTTGAATCAAGACTAGAATATGACAAAGGTACTTATAAGACCAAGGATGGTTTCAATCTTATCTCTATATGCATTAGTTATCAAGAGGATTTTGTAGAAACTTCTTAAGATCTACAAGACTTGTGGCTTAAGAGTGAGATTGTAGATTGCTTGTAATATGACTTTGTAAATGTCATATTACAAGCAATCTACTTTGTAATATGGCACTACTTATACTATATGTCCTCTAGTATCCTTTCATATTAGATAGAAAAATAAAAGATTGCCATAGAAAAGCTATTATTTTCAAGTTTGTAGAGTCTAAACCAATTATTGAATTTAGAAGATGTGATGCTTGTTTGTATCAGTTAAAGCCAATTTTTGAGAAGCTCTACAAACAAAAAAACCCAAAAGTTTGTATGTTGAGAATTTATTTTGTAGGCTTAGTTTATCTTTTTTGGTGCAAAAGATTCATGGTTATTATTATTATTATTATTATTATTCAATAGACAAAATTCTTTTGTCATGTTATTTTGCAAGTCTTTTTTATTTATTTATTTTTGATCAATTACAAGCCTAGATTTCTCATAGTAGCAAACTAAATTTTCATATGGTATCAAGGTATGACAATATTAGAAAGACTCTAATCACATTAATAAAAAAATTACAAAAATAAAATAAAATAAATTTATTTCTGATTTTTTAAAATCCAATCTTTACTTTATAAGCTTTTTGTCTATTCCTACTATTATAAATTAGTAATAAACTATATTCTATTTTTACATTATTATTATACGAATTAATGATTTTAATACTATGTAAATGAGGCTCTTAAAAAAATTAATTTATTTACATTTAAACTTAAGTTCAAAGGTTAATCTTGTATTAAAATTTTATTCCAAAAATTATTATATTTTTTTTATTAATTTTTTAATAAAACTAACATACAAATTATCAAAACTTGATCTTTATTGATAAAGAATAGATAATCATATATATATATATCAAAGTATTTTTAATATATGGTAGGTTATTTTTTTTTAAATATATTTTTTTTGCAATATTATTCGTTTTTTTTTTTGCAAAACAATCATAAATTAATAAAATAAAAAAATATTAAAAATAAAGAATATCCTAGCACATATAAGAAAAAATTTAAAAAGATTATAATTGCTTCATTTATAATTTTTTTATTACTTTAATTAAAATTAAATTAGATAATTCAAAAGAAAAAAATAAGATTATTTTTCAAATATTTCATTTTATTTTTTATAACTCACACAAATACAATTGCATCAATTACAAAATCAAAATTTATTCTTTGTGAAAATTTAAATGATATTCAATTAAATTTTAATGCTTCATCAAATAAATAAATATACATATATATATATATATATATATATATATATATATATATATACATATTTTAAATTCTAATCTCTTGATTGTCAAATCTAAGACATTTTGTTTCCTTTGAAATTATTTTTAATTTTTTTAGTTGTATCAATTTATATAAATTCTGATCTTTACAAAAAAAATTATATTCTTAGATGTTATTGTCAATGTATATTTGTTTCTAATCAAATCTTTGTTCTTAATGCTTATTAAAGAGTCAATTATTACATGCAATTTTTTAAGTAATAATTATTCTAACAATTCTTAGCATTATTAGTTATAAATGTTTAATATTATCTTTTAAGCTATGATAAGATTTATTGATTTGAAATCTATTATTTTAATTCATATTAAAATTAATTTATTAAAATTTTATAATATAAATGATAATTGAATGTGTTCCTTGTTGAAGAGATTAAAGTTTTGTTATTGCTACTATTTTTCAATTACCTTTTCTAAATAAAATGGTGAATACTTCTATAAATAATTTTAATATAAAATTTAAAAATTCTTTTTAATTTAAGACATAAATCAATAAAGGCATTTCTAAATAGAAGTGTGCTTCTAAATTTTACTTAAGTGATACCATCAATGTATTGAAAAGAATATAAGCATAAAAATATTTTCATCTATTATAAAAATCTTTTAAATTTTAGTGTTCTACAAAACTTTTCTAACATATTAATCTTTAACTTCTTTATAATTATAGTATTTTTAAATCTTTTTTAATTATAGAAATCTATTTCAATTCTATCTTAAGTCAAAGATCTCTTTCACTTCAAACTCTTAATTATTGTCTATTTCTATGGAAGGAAGTAACAATGGTTTTATTTTTTATTTTTTATATTTTATATATCCATTGTCTTGTATAGGTTAAGAAAAGATACATAGAACAAGAGATAGATCTTCATAAGTTCCAATAAGTATAGTCAATATGAAACTAAATTGATTTATTTGGAAATAAAAAAAGGTCCCAATCTATAATAATCTCACTTATTATAGAAGCAAATAGTCTTGATATTATAATAGAATAACCATATCTTATCACCAATGCAAAATTGAGGTTGTTCTTTCAAATAGACATTTATATTGATCTTTTGTTATTCCTAAACTTCTTTTAATTGTGCCTTCATTATTATATATAGATATAATATTTGGTTTTTTAAAATATTTTTTTATACAATTATAAACTTTTGAAAAGTTAAAAGTATTAAATTATAGATGATAACCATAGTTAGCATAAAAAGGTGAGTTTTTAATAGAAGAATGTATCATATTATTAATAACAAAACTTACTAATGATAAAAAAATTATCTAATTATCTTGATGATAGTTGATGGTATATTATTAATATTACTCCAATACTTGATTTATTTGATTTGTTTGTTCATTAGTTTGAAAATAAAATGCCAAAGATAGTTTTATATCTACCTTCAATATCATGAAAAGAATTCTCCAAAACCTATTGACAAATTAAGTCTTTTTATCTTGTATAATATGTCATGATATTCTATGATAGCAAAAGATGTTATCAAGAAAAAAATCTACTTGTTTCTTTATGTGTGATAGTTTTTATACATCATAAAACTTATGTTATATTAGTAAAAAAAATCTATTATTACAAATATAAAATCAGAAGAGCTTGAAATTAAAAGATCTATGATAAAATCTATAGAAAAGAAAAACCATGGTTGTTTTGATATAAGTAATGGTTGAAAAAGTCTAAAATACTAATGATAAGGAATTATGTTGAAGATAAATTGTACCTCTTTTTTTAGGAGTAAGATAAGAATGTCTCAATAAGGCATCTAATAAACCTTATTATTTTTTTAATTGATAAGGAATATTAAATACAAATTTTGACAAAGACATGCTTTAATAGATTTAGTGACAATTCAAAATACATGCCAACATAAAATATTTAAGGTACTCGTGATCTATATAATCAAACATTAGACTAGAAGCACCTTCTAGATAATGACGATTTTCTTGAATTAAATCCACAATTAAAAGAAGTTCTTTTTTGTGAATTTTAGAATTAATTTTGGGTATTAAAAAAAATTGGTTAAAAAAATATAGAATGAATTTTTTCATATACTCCTATTTAAAACAATATAACATCCAAGAAAAAGTTTAATGTGTTATTTTTATAAAATATGGCTTAAAGAAGTCAATTCAATACAAAATTGGAACTCGAATAAAAGTTAATTTCAAAGCTTTAAATGCTATTTTGATTCTTTGTTCCACTCAAGTTTGTCTTTATAAGTCAAACATGTAAATAGAGCTAAAATTTGAGAAATATTTTGATAAAAATTTAATAAAAATTTAAAAAATTTAAAAAATATTAAATATTTATTATTATGTTTTAAAATTTTAAATTTATGATAATTTGAAATTTCTTAGGATCCATCATAAAGCCATCATTTAAAATAATATATTATAAAAAATTAACATGAATTGTATGAAATATTCACTTCTTTATTTTGGGATATAATTTTATATTTTAAATTTTTTTTAATATGCAATGAACATATTGTTCATATTCTTTTGTGTTTTTAAAATATATCAAAATATTTTTCAAATAACAAAAAAACAAAATCATCTAAAAACTCTTAAAAAACATGATTTATTAGATGTTGAACAACATCTACATGATTGCTTATTAATTGAATCAAACCAAGATCTATATCATAATAAAAGTGAATTTTAGCCTTCTTAAATCTCAAAAATCAATTTTAGCTATCCTTATCTTAGTTTATTATGGTAATTATCTTTTCAAAAATCTAAAAACTATAAAGTATGTACAACAAATATATTCTACAAACTTACAAAAGTCAATGCAAATCCAATCTATAAAATCTAATAGATCTTTGAAGAATTTAACCTTCAGGTTGTGTGCATTGTATGTCCTATACACCCATGTACTTTAAAGGTATAGAAATCCCACCTACATTACTGATT